AAGGAAGAATCAAGTAAGTTTAATAAAAAAGAGATATTAATAAATATATATCAAATTCAATTAACATTGAGGAGCTAAAATTTTGGGAGCTACTTTTTTAAAAACTACTCTTGCGATTTTTACAAAACTTGGCAGTTTGACATAATCTGAGTCGTAGAATCGAAATATGGAAACAAATTAGTATTATTTTAGAAAAAATCCGATTTTATGTCAAAATACCTATATTACAACAATGCTATGTATAAATCTAATACATACCCTAAGTCGCGCTTTCGAAGCATGAGAAACGTAAGTTGAATTTCGCCAATCGGCCAAGTAGAACTGGAGATATAAAACTGTACCCTTCCATCTCCCCCCTTTTTTTCGCAGTGTAAGTTTGATCTCCTTTTGCGCGGAGGAATACTACTTGTAAAGAGGGATTTATCAATGTTCATGTATTTCGACTTATGTACAAGTAGACGTGTGATAGGAATTTTTTCATTGTTTCGCAAAATCAACTTTCTTTTTTTAGACAGACGCCGGTTAACCTACAACAGCTTAATCCTACTCCGGTAAATCGAAATTTGATTCTCATTCAGTAGCATTTCTATCGGTTCTATCATATACAGTTTTAATGAACGCTGAAGCTGCTATCCCGTTGCGATGTAAATGTTTTTCTCTTCATATCAGTTACGTATATTTTTAGTATACATATTTGATACGGTTATACGGACTTAGATACACAGTTTTGTGAGTAAACTGAAATTCTTGAGCCAATATGCAAAAGTGTAACTTTTTTATCAAAACTTGAAAGCTGGCCAAAAATGTCTGTGAAATCTTTAAAACTGTGTGAGTATCTAAAGCAGCAAAATGTGTGTAAGTTCGCTAGATTTAGTTCCTGGCGGTTGAATGGGCTAGTTGTAATGTTTTGCTGATTTTTCTCATGTTTTCCCTTAGAGAATCTTTTAATTTTTTTTCTTCTCCTTTTAGGAACGTAGCCCTAATGTGCCTTAATAAAATATTCCAGTCCTATGAAATCTTTCATCAGTCGAAATTGCATGAAGCGAAGAAATAGTTACCGTTCATTTATATGGAAAATATTTGTGCTCACCTCCCGTTCGCATGCCCAAAAAATAACGTACATCAAAATCTAACACTAAATAACGTATAACACTTAAAATAATATCAAAATGACAATAAAAGTGATATAATAAATATTCAACATACAGAGAGTTTCAGAAACATTGCACAGCTAAATGTCTCTTGAATAGGTAGTCTACGGATTTACCGAGTGAATCAAACCCTGTAACACTTAATAGTTGAAATATATGCACTGAAAATGAAACGCCAAACTCAGTAATTCTATATTTAAGTTTTAATTTTATGTCGCTACAAAAAGGTCTTCTTTTCTTAATGAAAGTCGTTTAAGTCGTATGATTTTCAGAAATAATTTTTTACTCAAGAACTGGATTTTTTGTAAAACAATTTTAATAAGATGAGGAAGCATTATTTATTGAAACGCTATATGTAGACTGCTCGATAAAATTTTTAATTTTACTAAATCCCAAGTTATAAAACATATCTGAAAGTTTCATTATTTAATTCTTTGGAAATGGACTGATGGATCTATGACGAAATACTCAAGAAACATGTAATCTTGCAATCTTCTTGGCATATCCCGTATTGAAGTAGAAATGATGCGATTATGGCATAATTTAACCTTTCGAAATAAGGAAGACAAAATACTTTGCTGGGCTGAGAATTTCTTTGTTTATTCAAATAAATAAGAGACAGGATTATAAGAATGCTTTCTTGGATATCTTTCTGAAGGAAATTGGCTAGTTATCATGTTACATTATCATGGGACAGGAAAAGATGAAATGGACGGGGCACCGGAATGTCACCATTGATTGCACACAAGGAAGAGGGAAGCCACCCAGAAAGTGGCGCTACCAGACTCCCCTCTGAAAGTTATAAATCACATGAATTCTTTTTAATATTTATGCGTTTATAAATAAATTTTCGGAAAATAAATACTTGAGACGGCACCGGCCGGCAAAGACCCAACACGACAGAAAATGTAGCGCGGGCCTTAAGTACATCTTCAACATTTCTTTGTGAAAACGGCTATTATATTCCTTTTCTCTTAGAATCATGTTGTTGAATCAATACAGAAACTCTGTTTAAAGCTGTGATAACACTAAGCTCAATTTATTAATCCATGTATCTCCTGAAAAATATCTCCTTAAGACAATTAAACGTATCTCTTTATCTTGAAAAGATTTATTTCACAGAAAGGGGGGGTTGGAGACAAGTTTGAGCTAATACTATTTTCTCCCATCAGGCCTGTTAAGATGGATTTCAATTAAGAGGGTTTTTCTATATTTCCTAAAAATTTATCAGGAATGAGATTCCCCAACGAATACTCACAACTGCTGGAACTCCCATATTTTTTATCATACAGGGTTTCGCAGCCACTCAAAATCCCTCGAAGATCTTCTCTAAACCAAAGCGAATTTAAAAATAAAATCCTCTTTCTCTACAACATCTATGAAAATGATCATCGAATTCTGTTTCCTCTTTTCTCTTGATTTGAAGAAATAAAATTTACTTAAGCTTCCTTTCAGTTAGTGAAAGCATATGTGTAAATCTGTATTAAACAGAAACAACGTAAAAGGAACTTAAAACTTGAGATACTTATATTCTAGTACAATTAGTTTCATTTATATATATGCACACGCATACATTATATATATATATATATATATATATATATGTACCAAATTTACTGGAAATGAGCTGACTTAAAATGGAGAATTCTTTATTTTTTTTCCATTATCATTTACTGCAAAAGGATATACCATTGCATTTTGTTTATTACTACAAAGCACCAAACTCTTGTAACCATTAACTGCGATGAATGCATTTGAAATGCGTTTCAGAAAAGAATTTTTCCCAACAACGACAATGTGTGGCTACGCCTCGTAGCCCATGTGAAGGCCACGCAAACGGGCGTTCCTAGTGAAGTCACGAATTGCGGACAAACAAAAATATTAGTCCGAAAGAAATCGACCTTCGGAGCTCGAATTTATCGAAAATTTCGAAGGACCGTTATTATTAAAGCTCCCTCATTTGGATAAGCGATAAAAAGAATTTTACTGAACTCTAAAAAAGTCAAGGTTCTTGAGCTCATCAGTGCTCCTTTTAAGCTCATGGTGTCTCTTTTAGGATTTTGAGCACTTTCTATTAAGCATTGACCTTCAGAACTCAATGTCAGGCACAGCAGGTGATAAAGAGTGTAGGTTGGGTGTGTACGAACGCCATTCAAAATTTTAAAAAAAATGTTCTGTAGTTGACACCAGGAATTATAATAAATGTGATGCCAATGTTATGCAATATCTCTCCGCCTTCGATAAGCTGAAAAAAAAACTTTCTAGCATGTTGGAGATATGTTTTCTACATCCAAGAAGATTCAGTTGCATGTGCCTCCAAGAAGATTCAGTTGCATGTGCCTCCAAGAAGATTCAGTTGCATGTGCCTCCAAGAAGTTTTAGTTGCATGTGCCTCCAAGAAGATCCAGTTGCATATGCTTATCATTGCTACTAAAATTATTATCATTAGTAAATAATTATATATATGTGTGTGTAACCAATAAAATCTTTGTTTCTAACCAATAAAATTTTTGTTACGTCGGTAATTAGCGTCTGTCAATAATTTAAATTTGGAGGCAATTAATTCCTTTTGAGGGAATTTCTGACACATCCGTAGGATCTCACAGTTTGATGATTTGCCTCATTACATAATTTGTAGACTTTCTTCCCCCCACCGTGAAAAGTCGCACCTAATCGAATAATTTTTTAAGTAAATATTAGCAGAGAATGCACATTGGTTTCAGTAGTACAGGGGTAGAATACGATAAATGTTCTAGACTCTTTTCTAACATCCCAGCTATGTTCCTACAGTTTTGAAGCAAAATTAGTTTTTACAGTTTTGAGGCAAAATTAATTTCGGATACGGTAAAACTTCATCTAACGTTAAATCTCACTAATGAGTTTTGTTTATTTGTTTGAGCACGGCAAGGCATACTGGGGCTATCTTTTTAAGAGAAAGAATGCTTTCAAAAAGGAATTGTTTATCTATGAAACTCATTCTTAAAGCTTTGTAGTTTAAACTTATGATTTTCATTTATACGGCACTGGAAACATTGACAACGTTTTAATTCACTTTTTCAACTTCCAATGAAATTAATTTTTTTTATCTGAAAGGGTGCTTTCTTTGATTGCTATTAGTGTAACGATAAATAAAAATATAATCATTTGTAAAATTTTATATAACATTTAAAATCAAACAAGAGATGGAAAATATCGTGAATTCTAATAATAGTTCTCTAATATGAAATTCTCTTCCAGAATTCCATATTTTTTTTAAATTACACAATCTTAGAAATTTGCGTTAATAGCTAGAGTAGTCAAATGGATTAGAGTAGCATTTTTTTTAAAGTCACTATATTATTTGGATTTTAATACACGAAATATGCTATTTTGATTTTTAATTTATTCCATAATTTTGTTTTTGCTTCAAACATTCTGCAGTCGCTCCGAAACATTTCTGGATCGTATGATTAAAATCGCTTAGATCAGAAGCGCTGTGATTAGGAAAGAATGTGTTGATATGAGGAAGAACTGAAATCTATAATTTTATTAGCGAGCTCTCGTTTGTCTGCAGAGTGATATTAGATGCTACGAAGAAACGATTTTTCTTCATAGCTGTTTATGGTGTGTTATTTAAAACTATGTACTGTACTGGTAATCGTATACATTAGTTTTATTTTTACCATTAATTACTTATTACATGCTTCTAAAATAAACTGTCTTTTCTATTTTCTGTTGCAAAACAAGCTAAATTTTAAATAATTTTTAGAGTAATTGCAGAAGGCGCAGTTTATATTATCGTTTGTTTGCTAAGCCTCAAACCAAATCTTATGTAACTGTCATTCAACTGTGTCACAAAATGTGATTGGCATCACAATCAGGCTGATGCTGATATTAATTCTTTCCTTTACAGCTGCCTTCTGGAGCCAAACTCAGTGCCAAAAAGCTACCGATGAATTCAAGTGCCCTCAACAGTTCGGTTACTTCCGGGACCAAACGGACTGCAGCAAATACTTCATATGTGTGTTCGGAGACGCCCTACGTGACAAGTGCACCCCGGGCCTCTACTTCAATAACGAGCTCCGAATGTGCGATTGGCCCAGAAACGTCAAAAACTGTGAGGCTGGTGAGCAAAATAATTACGACATTTAATTCCTTTTCCTCACTTTGGAAATGGGTAGCTTTTTTTAAGTTGTTTTTATGTCATTGTTGCTTTAATTTCCGCTGTAATACTATTTCAAGAAGATCTGTCCATCACAAATGAAAATTAATGTCTTAATGTATAAAAACAACAAATGTATAAAACAACTTAATGTATAAAACAAATGAAAATTAATGTCTTAATGTTCTGTCAGTATTGCAGTTTACTTATAAAAAATTTTATGTGCATGTTATTTATTCTTATGTTACGAAAGTGAATCGAAAGTTCCTCTCAAAATAACTCCTTTGAGTAACTCTTCATGGACTGAAATTTCTCCGCAAAGCCCCGTGTCCATCATATTTATTTTTATTTTTCCCAGAGTTACTTAAAGATTAAGGTCCTTACTATGCTATTTTTAACTGCAATAAAAATTTTCTTACATTATTTCAAAAATTGCTCGTTCTTCTTTCAGTTTGACTGCTTTCGCTAAAATCCGTTCATAATTATAATCTTTCCATACATTTAAAATCTGTATATGAAAATTAGAAGAAATTGCTTTATTTTTAAACCTGAAAAGCTATTCAGTACAGCGGCTGAAAAGTCTAAAATTCGTGTGTAGTAAATATACTTTCATAAGCAATAGCCAGAAGCATTATCTAGGTATGTTTATATCTTAATTTAAAAACATATTGTTCCTGTTAATTTATAAAGAATCATCGCATCCTCCTGACCGTAATCTTGTGATTAGTTCATCGAGCTAGCAGTTGCAAGATCCGTGACTTGAATTCCGGCTTTCCTGCTTCATAAACATATAATAATTCTCTAACAATTTACTTTAAAGGGTTCCTTCTGTTTAAAAACTGTTCTACTATTTTTGAAATGATATGAAAAACTAATTACGGCTCTTAGAATTTCCATTTATAACTTTCGAATATTTCAAATATTCTTATAAACTCCAACTGACAAAAACATCTATCCAGCCTTGCCTTACACCACATTTTAATTTATCAAATTTTGATTGCTACTATGACAGCTATATTCCTTTATACTTACAGAACTATAGCTGTAAAATAGCTGTACGTGTATTTATAAAGTCAGTATTTTAGACTTTGTACCTCAAGTGAGCCTCGACGAACAATAATCCGGTCACAAGTGAGGAAAAAAAGCCATTTTCATAGATAAATATATGTATAGATAATATCTAAATTTTTTTTAAACAGTAGCTCTTAAAAAACATTCCGAATCGGAGATGAAAGCTATTTTTCTTTCCCAACAGCTGGCGTATTTTTCCCGCAGCCAGCTTTCAGATGTCTGGAGATACGTTGTTCACATTATCTATTTTCAGAGAAGATCAGACAAATGTCTGTTAACAATGATCTCACTGGGAATATGTTCATTTCAAAAATGAGAAAAGTTGTTCATATTGATAATAAGTACTACCGAATATGGAAATCACATTCAATGCTAATTTGCGGCTCATGGAACTCGCATGCAAACATTTGTAAATTTTAGGGATACTCACTTCTTTAAATTTCAGCTTTAGAGTTGAGTTGCAATGAATTTCTATAAATTACATCTGTAAAAAGGCTGATATTTTCTCAACGTTGCTTGAAAAAAGTGGTATAAAGCAAGAAGAGCTTGTCTTCGATAAATCTGATATTGCACAGCCTTTCTTCGAATTCACTCTTCAAACGCTGAAGCTTCTCAACGCACGTTTTGTACAAAACAGCTTGCCTTGAACTTGTTTTATACTTGCACAAGTTAGGAAGTGTATCTAGTCTTCATTTGTAGCAGCTTCTCTTACAGGAGTAACTTTTCGAATGTTTATACTGTTCACTTAAGTTCGTAATAAATATATCTTTTCCTTTCAGTTTTAGATTCAGATCTGGCAAATATTATGTTAATTTTGTCCTATAGTTTTATTTCTTCCTGTCAGAAATTAACATTCGGTAGGATTTAAATAGCTAGCGAAAATAAACTGAGAAAGAGAAACAGAAAGACTTTAGCATTGCAATAAAAGAGTGACAGCACTCTTTTAACTGTGCTTATTTCGGGGAGTAATTTCTGCTTTTTGATATAGAGTTTATGCTTAGAAGTAGAAGACCTAAGTAGAAGCCATGTTGATAGATATTTAATACTTGTAGATTACATATGGTTCTTTGTATTTTAAGACTTCGAAAAAAAAGCGATGATTTTGTTCCTAGCTATTTCAATCGTAGTACACTTTGTCTTTAATAGACTTTTATTATATTTTACTGATAGTTTTATTTCTTAAACTGTTAACTACAAGTTAACATGTAAGAGAGATAAGCCATCTGTAGCTCAGAAGATTAAATGAGCAGCAAATTAACTATAAATTTAGTTCAACCTTACAATATTATACAGAAAAAACACTAATACGTCCAATTTTTAAATAAGGCGACATTAAATTCGCACATAGTAGTAAAATGGATAGACATGTGCAAATCCATTCCATTGCTATTAACACCCCACCTCTTCACGATTCGAGTCTCTTGAGAATTCTTTTCTTTCTTCTTGGCATATGAGTTAATGTAACAGCACTGATATTTAAATAGAGAATAGTCCAGGTGCATGGTACTTCATACTATAATGAATCATTTCTAATTAATACGAGAAACCGTCTGTAGACAAATCTGTTTTACAGTATAGTAGAATTTAGCACATACAACGAAAATGGCAATCGCTTAATCTTACAGATCGTCAACATTTTGCTTTGCTCAACGGTATTTGCGTATTAACGCAACCTCCCTGGCGCATTTCTTCTATATTTTACGAATGAAAGGGTAAAAGTTATTTATGGAATGTAAAATGGTAGGTTTCGCGCTTTTTTTTTTAGTAAGATTCCCAAACTCTTGATAATTATCGTAAGTTGGCAAACATTATCAACATATGAAAAACAAATATACTTTAGCAATTTAAAATACATATTTAGAATTATTAAATAAGGATTATGTAATACATTAAAAAATAAAGCATATTCTGCTTCAAATCTTCGTGTAATTTTTTTGTGCTGTTCTTCTCCCGAAGTACACAACGATCTATTTTTGCTTAAAAATGCATCAAAGAACTGCAGAGACTCAGTAAAGCCATTGTTACCGAGTAGCCATTGTTACCTTTAGAATTTTTCAACAAAATTCTGTATGCTTGGAGAAATTTTATTGCAGTTTCTTTCATTGCTGGCAAATTCCACAAACTCATATTTTAAAACTAAGCTTAAGACCAAAAAAAGTCGTTGAAACTCGGAATACAACAAAAAAAAAAGCATACGAAAATGGGGACGTTGCTAAGGTATTCTTTTAAGACAATGATCCTAAAATGTATACTGTAAAATTATGCAATTGTTACAAACGTCGGAGCACGCATGTTATAAAAATATGCAATCAATAATGAGAACAGCTTTAGGGAATAGAGTATCTTAGTATAATCAAATTATCTTACTATAGTTCAAAAGGGATAGTTTTCTTAATGAACCAAAATCTGAAATATGAAAATTCTTTTAGCAGTTAATTTACACGATTCATTGAATTAATAAATTAAAATAATGTATTTTCCTGTCTTCTTCAGGTACTCTTGCAAAGTCAGAATCGTCAAATGGACGGCGAATTTATGGAACATCCACGAGTAGACCGAGGTCATCAAATAGTAACAGATCTCATCGCAACAACAATATTCCGAGCATTAATTCTATAGCTCCAGCAAACCCAACTCAGGGTTCTCGCGTGGGGAGCCGTTACACACCACCTATCTCTATCAGTGAATCTTACGCTGCTGCAGTTAGGAACTCAACGAGTTTTAGACCATCTCTATATATGAGACCATCTGCAATTACAACAAATCGCCCTACTTCCACCAGCAGTGTTCGCCCTTACCTGTACAGCACTGGACCACCAGCAAGTTTTAAGCCTATATATTACAGAGTAACAACCAAGCCTGTGGCTCCATCTCGTCCTTCTCATCAGTCACTTAATAACAAAAAAAAAGATTTCGAGGAGGATTATTATGATAGCGAATATGAAGACGAAGAAGACAGTATTGAAGAACCACAGCTGATGGTTAACCAACACCTTCGAAACGGCAATAACCTCTACGTTCGCCCAATTTCTATTACAACTCTAAGACCAACTTTACCTCCTAGGAACGACTCCAAGTGTAAGACCTTCAAATTATAACAATAACATCCGTAGTAATGGGAATATTCTTCGTCCTCCTCCAAATACTAGGACCACTTATATTCGACCTAGTGTATCATATAGTAATTTTAATCAAAGAGACCATTCTTCTAGACCTAGCCATTCTGATTCATCCGAAACTTCTACTGAAGACAGAAGGTAAATATGCCTGGCATTTTCTTTCAGTAAAAAATTGTATTATGAGTTTCCTATAACTCTTGCAAAGAAAATCGAATATTTTATTACAATAAATAACTGCAATTAACATTTCCATATACATGAAAGGAAATAAAAATCGAAGAAAAAATACTTTTGAACGAATTCCATCTATCAAATCTGAATCGCTAAAATATTGAGCATTTGACAAATTTGAAACTTTTCAAACTCAGAGACTAGCAGATTGCCTGCTTTGAATGTTGTGGTAAATTATAAATATCATTATTACGGTAAATTATCTTAAATTTATCTTTCAGAATATAAAATATGTGTTTGAAAGTCAACTGAAAGAGAGATTTAGATTCAATGTTTGTACTTCTAACTAATTCTTATTTATATAGTACTATTTTTAATGATTGATGTAATTTAAAATAATATAAAAATCAATTAAAATACAATTTATATGAATTTATAACATACATACGTTATAATCAGACTGATATTTTTAAAAATGTTGGTACCATTAGTTTAATTTATAACAGATATTTTAACGACTATAGAGGTTTGAACTTACTTTTCTCTGGAAATGGAGGGTGACATGAAACTTATATAATGTAAAAAATCAGTAAAATTAACTTGAAAACTTTGTTGTAACTATTTGTTAGTCTATATTCAGAGGTTTTTATTTTCTTCAAATCATGTTTGTTTTTATTTATTAATCATTTTACTCTGTGTCTTATCTTGTAAACCTTTTTTGTGCATATTATTTATGCAGTTTTCATAGCTTTTTATTTCAGTGAAATAATTCTATTTTATGAGCTTAACTGTCTTATTAACTAATTAAACACATAAAATGTTTAGTACATACAAACTGTGTGTAAATATATGTTAAAGTTATGCAAATAATGCAATGCGAATTTGACATTTTCTCCCCACCCCCTAAATTTGGCAACACTCTTGGAAGTTTTCATGAACATATTGTCGAGAGCCATGGGCCACATAGAACGATTTTTCAATGCCATTTTCCCTTTGCTTTGCCTGAGCAAAATTATAAACAAAATTATAACTTCAGTGATAGAATAAATATTTTTATAAAGTCATATTAAAAATTCTTAATAAACTTCTAACCATTATTTACTGAAGCTTTTACGATAAACATAAAAAAATACACAGAATAGGAGAGAAACAAATTTTCCATTTACCCCCCCCCCAGGGTGACAAAAATTCTTTTCCCCAGTTTCGTTTTTAAATCTTGGAGATAATGAGTTTGGGAAGCACAAATCTTTGCTGTCATAACTGGCTGTTCTTCAAATGAATTCCTTTTCATTTTTCAGGTCTTGAATCAGTTTTGCTTTTCATGTCCTAGCAAGTTTTTCTGGTGTTTTGGCAAGCATATCAATCTCTGCTTTTTAATTCATTACAAAGACTACAAGTGTTCTTTCTTGAGCAATCGAATCCGGTGTTAAGCTTAGAATTAAAAATATATCTGAATTTTATCATAAGACATTGGATTGTTGGTTTTGTAGATGTCATGTAATTTTGTAATGTTCAAAACTTCCGGCAGGTATATTTTCTTAATAAACCGACTTTCTCCCCTTAAGGGGTAAACACCATTATTTAAAAATAGTATCCTCAGGAATTGCATGTTTTTGGTTTGTATTTTTGTCTCTGCAGTCTGCCGGTGCTTTTCCGTCAACCGGCCAAAACTTATCTTGGTTTTAAGCTCGATTTCTGTAATGTCATGAAATGAAACAAAGGCTCTTATACAAACTTGCACATCATTACATTGCCCATCTTGAAAGCAAGTTACTCGATGCATTGTGTGAAGATCCCCCATTTGCCAAACGAGGATGTCGGCAAAAATGCAAAAGGCTTGTAAGACCGACAAGATAATGAGTTTGGATATTATAATTCTGAAGCTCATTAAAAACTTCGAGAATTCATTGTTTTTTTACTATCACAAATCAAAGAAAAACATTTCAAAACCTAATTCATGTGTCGTTTCTCTTAAAGCTTTCATCGAGGATTCTCCCTATTTATATCCCTGCTCTTAGCAGAAAACTCGATCACTGAATCGGAGCCTGAACTCGAATCCTCACTTTCCATGTTCGTAAACACTACTGAAGAACTCACAGACGAAACCAGAAAAAACAGGTCGTTATTATAAGAGATAGGAATGAACACGAAGAAGTCTGATAATGGATGCTGGACATAAATGCTTCTTCCTTCTTTCGTAAGTGGACAAAAATTACTTTTCTCTAGTAGGCAAAATATTTCCTCCTCAGTTACAGTTACAGACATGAATACTTTTTCTCTAGAAGCGATTCATAATGAAGCTGCTATTCCTATTCCCCTCTAGATGGCATTCTTACTTCAGTTTTTACAAAATATGGATATAAATGGTTTTTCCCCCAGGGTCTTAATTTGCATTTAGCGTCTTTTATATTCCAAAGTTGTAGATTTTCGACTGTGAGCTTGTAAGGTATTTCTCCAGCCTTCTTAGCGAGCCTTCGTGGTATAGTGGTTTGTACGCTCAGCGCGTAATTGAGAGGTCCGCGGTTTGATTCCCGGCGAAGGCGTTGCTAATTTTTCATCTTTCCTGCTTCCAAATAAATTCCTAATATCTCTACAAGCTATTTTGCACTTTAGGTCCGAATCTACTATATCCTGAGTTCAAGACACATAGTTCGGACCTACCAAAGCTGGCTTTAGCTATTTTATTCAGCTTGTAATAATTATTATTGATTGGAGCTGCAGTAAATATTCAAAATATCTTTTCATTCTATTCCATATTTTTAGGAGATCTACAAGAAATGGTAGCACACAACAGTATTTTGAACTTCATTTCCTACCATACTAATAAAGGCATTATGAATAAAATGTATAAAAAATAACCAATATTCCACACTTTATTCAAAGTATTACTGGGAAAATAATTTCAAGAATAAAAGGAAATACCTTCTTAAGTCAGCGGAAGAAAAGCTATCGTACTCCTAACTGCCAAATACATCTCAGCACGCCTAGTATGGAAACGGCAATTTATCCTGTTATTTGGCTTAGTAGGTGGTATACTGCATTATAATCAGTGAGAATCATGACCAATTTATGGTATATGAAAAATAAAATTACTTGCCCTGCTGCTTTAAAATTACCATTAAACGAAACTGAATCTTTAATTTGTTATTTAGAAACATAGTAGCTTTCTTTGACATTTATCACTTTATTCCCTACCGTTTTACGACTATAGGAATTAGAAAGAATATTTATTTTATTGCAAGTACTCGAGTTCTAAAATTATTTACTCATGTCGCGATTCTTGAAATTATTTTAGAATTTGTTTTCTTTTGCTCATGAAATTTCGTGAGCTTAATTATAATTCAGTTCATATAAGTATCCAAGTATGATTACGAAAACATCGATGAAGCTGTTGGTAGAAAAAGAGCCCAGTAATAAATTTTTTGGAATTATGAGCATGTGTACTAGAATTAAAAAGCTGTATAAGACCAGAGAGTTTATTAGTCTTATAAATCTGAGAAAGTAAACAAACTACAAAGTTTTTTAATCTTTTGCTCTTGAAAACCAACAGAGCTAATTTAAAAATCTTCATATCAGAATTTCAAAAATATTCATTCCAAAATACAACCGTACCGAGACGTCGCATTTAAGCTACATCTCAACTCGAGAATAGAAGATAAAAGTTTCCAGTGAATTCTAAGTTTCTATAAAAAGTTGACTGTCATTCTTATATATAAAACTCACTATGTACAAAGATAAAACAGCTTGTAGCGGGGTATCGCTAAAAAATAAACTCTACTTTTATCTAGACTTGAAATAAGGACCTCCGAATTTGATCAGATCCATTCGCTCTTATTCTGCAGCACAGCAAGTGAGAAAAATGCCTTAATTTCTTATTTACTCTACACAAACTACTTAAAGACGACTGGGAGGGTGAGGCTTTTCCTTCTTTCATAATTTCTACACATTAAAAAATATGTTTTAAAAACTGTTATAGAGTCATTAGTTTTTTTTTTTTTTTTTTTTTTTTTTTTTTTTTTTTTTTTTTGAAGCAGGAGACTTGAAAAATTTGCAGTACTCTCGCCGCGGTTCGAACCCCGAACATCTCGCATACGACGGGTGTGCTACCGTTACAACACAAAGGCATGCTGGAAGGAAAGAGAAAATACCTTTTACACTCCCCGTTTTAAAGGGTGATTGGGGTTAGAGGGTCCAATAACCAAATCCTGCTGGTGACGAATTATCGTCCACCGCGTTTTATTAGTTCGGGCGCCACTGTAGAGTCATTAGATTTTTTTGAAGCAGGATACAGGAAAAATGTGCATTGTCCTCGCCGGGACTCGAACCCACGAGTACGCCGAGTGTGCTACCGTTACACCACGACGGTATACTGGAAGGAGGGAGAAAATATCTTATAATATATTTAAAAATGCATCACCACGGAAAGTTGCTCAAGTCATATAGTTTGGTAATTTTTTTAGACCGATTTTGCATGTTACAAAATCTTTTGTTCCCCCACCTAAATGGATCTTGACAAACTAGGGCTTTTCCTAAAGGAATCTTGATAGGATCTTCAATAGAATAAAAAACAACTTACTAACACGAACTCTTTTGCAGGGAAACCTTAAAAAAAATTGAATTGCTGTATAATTTTACCAAAAGGTGTCACTTCACCAAGATTATTATAATATGAAAGCTTGTTTTATTTGATTTCTTTCTTAAATCAAAACTACGATCTACAATCAACCACTCAATCGATATAAATTCATGCAATCTCTTTAAAATATATTGTATAAAAAATATGCATGCTGAGTGCCAAATGCTATGAAAAGAACTTTAAACGATTTAGACAATAAGAAACTCGAAACGAGTATATTACTCGTACAATAATCGGAATAAGTGTTAGATTATAAGGTATTTCTCCCACATCCTTGGCGTTCCTTCGTCGCGTAGTGGTCTGCGCGCTGGGCGCGTATTCCAGAAGTCCGCGGTTCGATTCCCGGCGAAGGCGTTGCTCATTTTTCATTCTTCCTGCTTCCAAAAAATACCTAATGTCTCTACAAGATAAGCAACCGAATAAAGTATTAAAACAGATACAGTAAAATATTTGTGATAAAACGCATAGCAGCATTTCACTAAAATTAATCGTTTAAGTATCTTAATTTCAAAATTCATAGATAACGAAAATAATAGTAAAAATTTGGAAATAATAGTATAGTTTGCTTAAAAAGTTTTAGTCATGTTCTAGTTATTTAATTAGCTCAAGATTTACATTATTTTAAAAATATCCATGCTATAGTTTTTTTCTTTCTTTTCTTAGACCAGCTTACGTTAGAAATATCGTACGACCTGCAGCTCCTACACACGGCAGTAACGTAAGGTCCAGAACATCAAACAGCAACTCCAATTCTGCGCTTTCTAACGTCTATACATCCAAGCCAAGAAACACCGATTCTCTAATCCGTTTGCGGCCTCAGGTCAATAACGGAGGCAGCAACATTCAATCCTTGGACAACGGTGGTGAAAGTCTTGACGCACAATTTGGCACCAATCCTCGGTCTATTAGCCTTCCGGATCGACCGTACAGACTCAATTCCTTCGAATCAAGCAGCGACATGAGGAAAGCTGAAAGAAACCAACAACAAATGAACAAGCCCAAGGTGACATCGACGCGGTACTCGTCCCCAGCTCGACCGTCATACAAAACAGGTATTGATTACGTTGTGTCATTTCCTGCATCGATACCAAAACTCATTTCGCCCGAATCAAGTATCTGAAACTCAGAAAAGCAGAAAATTATAGGAATATAATTAATAATATTTGCAAAGTAAATGGTCAATTATTTAAAACGCAGGTTGGAGAAATAATATACATTAGGTATTGTTTAGAACAGCTTGCGAAACAACTATATTGACCCCGAAAGTGTTTCCTTAACGTAAAAACGTAACTAACAGGAAAGAAAAATATTCAAAGCACGTTAGAGAAAATTATAACCGTTTATACAGTTCGCGTGTTTTAAACAACTGGAATTTAGAAAATTGCTTTAAACTGTCATTAAAATCAGCTTTTTTTTTTTTTAAATTGATTTATTTTTTATTTTGACTTACTTACTTATTTATTTTTAAAGGTAAGTTGGAATTTTTAAAGAATTTTCTCTTTCAATCTGAAGCTTGTTAACCATTCGTTTGTGTGAGCGTCACCTAAATATATCACTTAAAAATTCAGTAAGTAATGTATTCTAAAGGATTATTATTTGTTATATTTTTAATGTAATAATCTACTCTAATGAAAGCACATTATTATTGTAAAAACATGAGAATAAAGGTAGAAAGTCAAAAAAAACTTTTGTGTTAGCAGGAGTGAGTCTAAGAGCAGACTGGTAAACTGTGAGCTCAATGAGAGCACGAAAAGCTTAACAAACCCTCTGCTGCCACATTAAAACCCGAATCCTTTCAGATATTTTCCCCCTCTGACTGCCTTTTTAGGGTTCCGGCACTTCTAATTTTTAGAAAATAACCCTTATCTTTAGCATTATTTTGCTTTATAGCGGTTTTTCATTTCTTTGCCGCAGAATTCCGTTCTCATCTCTGCGTCAAATTCTCAATAGACTTTAGTGGCAATAGGTAGTATTTTTGGCAGACATCAACGTGAAATTTTTGTATAATCAAAGAAAGCCCCCCCCCAATTTTTTCTGGTTCAAGAAATCTGTATGTTCACTATTCTATTTTATTTTTGTATGAATATTTAATCATCATCCTACAAATTGCAGGAAAATTTTGCTTTTTTTTATTCCAAATCCATATGCTTTAAATGATATATTTTTGTTAATATTACAAGTATAAATATTGAAAATAAGAAATATATCTGTAATTTTTAATGTAGAAACATTGCAAAGTTCGTACTGGTCTGAATTAGAAAAATCTCACTAGAAGCAAACATAAGAAGACAATGCTTTCTTTTCTCTTATAATATTCTTTTTGAAACTATATTAACCTTGTATACACAGCCGAATATTTGAAAAATATGTTAGATTTTTTTTTTTTTTTTTTTTTTTTTTGTACTTTAATTTTACGTTAAAAGAAAACCTATTTATTTGGTTTGTCTTAAAGTACAGCAATCGCCTAAGGACAGATTACCATTTCTGCAATGAAAATAAAAGAATTAAAATATGCGATTAAACTGTCTTTTGCACTGAATAGAGAAGATAATTTTACGCTGTATCAACAAAATGTTGTTATGTGGAAGACTTTATTTTTCTATCGTAAGAAGCCTTCAATGTCTTATATATGTGAGACCATTTGGGTTAATGCGGTACTCACTGTTCGTGCAACAATATGGGCAAAAACCTTCAGGGCCAAAAGGAACACGTGACTCATCCCTCAGTTTCAAGAAGCATCCAAATCCGCCTATAATATTTAAAACACGTAAAATTTCACATTCTCCTCCTCCCAGTTCTAGGCCTTAAAATGATAAAGAAGGAGCCGGGAAAAATCTGTGTTTTTTTTTAATTGTAATTTTTCATATTGCCTTCAAAAATTAAGCTCTAAATCTGTTGTCTCATATTCTTATCTTTAATATTACCTGGCCATTACTTGCACTAACTTGCACAATCAGTCCTTGTTGTTTTTTGTGCAACTACTGCATTAATATGAGGTTATAATCTTTGTATACAAATTCATAAGTCATTATAGCAGTTTAAGAGTTGCCAAAAATAGGTTACTATATATATTTTTGTAATTTTTAAAGTAGACATGGCAAGTTTATATTCCGCGGTAAAAAAGACTGCCTGGAAAAATTATTTCTCCCACATGGAAAGAAGCTAAATTTTTTTAATGCCGTATTTTATCCACCCACTTGATAGTTTAAATTGATAAAGAATTGCGTTCTTTAATTTGGCTGTTATTTCTGTACTTTAATTAATTAGGTTTGGGTATCAAATGAATGAGCATTTTTTAGATTCCTTTTTTTTTTTTTCTTTCTTTCAGAAAAGATGATAGCCCCGTTTAAAATGCATAAGATTATATTTTATAAAATGCATAGTACAAGATATGCCGGTAAAGTAACCGGACAATTTTTCATAAATAAAAGAAGAATTATTAACCTTCAACTAAATTTAGCTCCTTCAAAATAATCGCCAAAGGAGTCTATAAAATTTTTTCAAAGTTTCTTCAGGTTATCGAAATACTGTTTGTAGGTGTTGGAACAAACCGTTCGCAAAATACGCGTAACATTTGATTTAGTATCCGAGATGTTTTCAAATCTCTTTCCTCTAGCGGCCATCTTAGGCTTCGGAAAAAGAAAAATATCAGTTGGCGATAAGTCGGGAGAATATGGTAAATAACTTATCGCTGTAATTGAACTCTTAGCAATATTGTAGAGATATTTGCTTTTTTTTTTTTTTTTTTTTTTTTTTTTTTAAAGCAGGAGAGATGAAAAATGAGCAATGCCCTCGCCGGGACTCGAACCCCAGAACTCTCGAATACGCGCCGAGCATGCCGATTACTACACCATGAAGGCATGCTAAGAAGGCGGGAGTCATATCTCATAATACTTTATTTTACAGACAATAATGTATGGGGCTTAGCATTTTCGTGTAAAAGGTAATATTGTCCAGAATGAAAAACTTCCTTACTAGCGTGCCTTATTCTATTTCTTAATCGGAAAAGCATCTCCTTGTGAAAACACTGTTTAATTGATTGCTTTTCAGAAACAAATTAATGGTGAAGAAGTCCTTCGTAATCAAAAAATGCAATCATCATCACCTTTAATTTTTACAGCCGTCCTCTTTTTTTTTTTTTTTTTTTTTTTTTTTTTCGGGGGGAATGAGAGTAGATGGTCATTTCCACTGGGCATTTTGCCTTTTTGCTTCTGGGTCATATAGCAGACTTCAGATCTCATCTCCCGCTGTGATACACTTTAAGAAATGATTACCCTGCCTCGTCGTACTCAGAAAGCTTTCGTGTCTTCTTTTTGCTGTTCTGCCAAAATCGGAGGCACAAATCGAGCACAAACTTTCCTCATTTTCAGATTTTTCAATTAAAATTAACCTACAGCTTTCTTCACTTATCCCAAACATGTCTGGAAGTTGCTAAGTTGTTACACGTCTATAAGCTTTTAAGAACAAATTTTTCCCACATTTACCTCATTCTTTGAAGTTCAAGGGCACCCTATCTTTGGTTCATCTTCAACGCTTTCGCGCCCACATTTAAAGCGATTACACCACTCATATACTTGTGTTCCTGAAAACGATGGGTCACTATATACTGTTCGAATCATCTGTAACATTTCGGTAGCAGATTTACCTAATTTGTAACAAATTTTAATGTTATAATATTGTTCCATTTCAGAGCAAAATTTTTTGTACAGTGCCTTCTCAGTTAAATGAAAATAACTTCAACGTTTTGAAACGCAGACGACAAAATAACCAGTTTAAATTGGTTGTAACAAGAGTTGAGAAATCACGCTTTCTAAACATACATTTATTCTTTCACTTTTTATTTTATCTTTTGGTCTTTTAATTTGCACTATTACTTTATGAGCGCGCCTTTTAAATTGAAGCCGTTAAAACAAAATACCATAAAATATTGAAATATTCCTTTTGCTTAAATAAATTGATAAAATATTTAATTACTAAGCTTTTATTAAGTTTCTTTTTTGGGGAATACATACTTTATATAACTCGCATCTGTGACAGCTACTACTATATTAAAAAATATATAGTAGAAGACTTTCGTAAGAACTGTCTTATATTCCCAGTTTTGTAAATGAGTTTCCAAATAAATCAAAACAATGAGCAAATACGTCAACGTAAATTAATATGAAAGAGGAAGACTAAAGAGAATGGCAAAATGCATACTCTGAATACATAAAAATTCTGTTTTCACTACAGAACAAGTTGGAAAATTTGAAAGAGGAGAAATTTATTCTGCTACTAGAGTGATTAATTACTACATGGTCCTTTCTAGGGGTTAACGCCTGTCTGTGTTTTAAGTTTATATTATTGCGAATGGCAATCATAATCACCAATTCAATTTTAGGCGATTCATCTGAAGGTTTCGATGACTATTCTGAATACTACTACGATGAGGATGATTATGAAGACGAGGATGATGTACAGAACATTAGTCCAGTACCGAAGGTTGTGATACGACTTCAAAAGCCACCGTCCACCACTCGCAGGACCACCACGACTACCACTACCACAACCACAACCACAAGAAGACCAATTATAACAACCACCAGACGTCCTCCAACGACAAGACCAACCAAAAGACCTCTGCCGTTTGGTATTAGCAGACCAGCTGTAAAACCTATCAAAACAGGACCAAAACCTCTTCCTAAGTTACCCTCAAGGTAAAAATAATTCTTTCTTAATTAATTGCTTCTTTTTTTAATATTTTAGTAGAAATTGTCCGCAAGGTCGATAAAAAGACTTCCCTGTATTTTTTGCCTTTAGGCACTTATTTTAGTTACTTTTGTACGTAAAAACAAATTGCTCTAAACTTTTAAAAGCCAGTTAAATCTACTTCGTCGCTGTGCTCATTAAATAAAATTAGAAAGTGTATCGCATTAATTGGAAAACAAATGGTTGTTTTGTGAGCCAGGAAAAGCATTCACTCAAAAACTATCGTTCAGGTTTTTTTTTTTTTTTTTTTTTTTTTTTTTTCCAACAGAAGCTTTTATTTCGAAGTATTTTCAGTTTTCGAATAATTCAACTATAATTAATTATTAATTTAATTCTGATGCCATACCTAACTCAAATCAATTAATAACGAATTTTTAAGATACGTGACTTTAGTTAACAATTACCATTTCAGACGTTAAATCTGTAAATATTTTAATAAGTTAACACGTCTGCAAAATGTTTTCCTTAGTTATTGATAAAAAGTATTATTTTAAAAAAATGTTATTAAAATACTTCTAAAATATTGACAAACCCTTGCAGTAGTAAATTATTATAACTCGCACTTCAGTAGCAAATAAATATTTTAAGCAATCGGGCATTTTAAAATCTAATAGAATTGATGAAACGTATTTCTGTTGCCATTTATAGCTTTTAATTGTTTTAAGCTCTTGTAATATCTAGAAATTTATGGTTGTTAAATTTATGGCTGTTATTACTATATGATAAATATGAGCATTATTATATTAAAACAACAGAAAAAATAAATAATATACAGTCCAAAATAGTCCTTATCATTCTTAAATACGAAAAATATTATAGAATAATTAAAACAATCATGAAAAGATCGTTATCATTATTTACAAAGCTTTAGTGCTTTAGACGTAGTTCAAAATCTATATTTAAAAGAATAATTTGTAAAAAAATTGCAACAAGTAAAGAAATGCATCTCTTTCAGACCGCCACCAGTGTATACAACACCCAGACCTCTGGTAGTAGCTGACAAATGTAACAGCCGGAACTGTGTTCTTCCGGATTGTAGATGTGCCGGAGCAGATGTTCCTGGTGGAATTCCCTCTAAGGAAGTACCGCAGATTGTTCTGATCACATTTGATGATGCTGTCAACGATCTAAATTACGAATTATATTCCGAGATCTTCGACAACAGAAAGAATCCCAATGGGTGCCCTATACTAGGTACCTTTTATGTGTCGCATGAATGGACAGATTATGGCATGGTACAGAGCCTCTACTCCAAAGGTCACGAGATGGCATCTCATTCAATCACGTATGCATCTTTTAACATATAGTTTATTTTAATTAAATATTTAATGTAAATTGATAATTGTTTTAAACTGACTGGTTAGAGCAACGTATAGTAGAATCTCTTTTAACCGGCAGCAACGGGACCATGTCGATTCTGCATGAGAGATTTTTCTGGATCCTTGAATATATAACAATTCTAGAACTTACATAGGTTTTGTGACTAGCATACAAAGTACGTTGGCATTGTTTTTGATCTATCGGCCCAAAATTAAATAAATAATGCTGAGAATTGTACAGATTAATAAAATTAAAACACATATCATCATCTTATACTTCAGAAAAATAAATGTAAACAACATTTTAAAATTACCATATGAAAATATATATTATTCTTGGTATGATGGCATATAACTTCGAATGTCTGCTTGCTTATAAGATTGTCGCTGTGGTTTTAAAAATTCGCTGTCTATACAGAGAAAGCTTTGTCATATACAGATACAGACGAACATTTCTCGAGAAATCTTATTAAAGTCTGCAATTCTTCGTCAGCTTCTTTCCACGTAATTTTCTTGCTTTGCGTATCGTCTTCATCTTCATCTCTCCTCCTCCTCTTCACTTGCCTCCTTTTCCAGTACATGTCAGATTATTTCGTCGTAGTCTTGAAATTTTGCGACGGGAACAGAACTGCCTACATCCATCTAAGCTTGCGTCTCCTCTTTACTAATATTAATCTTCTAAGAATATCCAATATGTCTGACACGAATACCGGACGTGTTTTAAAACAAAGAGAATCACTATCATTCGATTCTTCATCTGTCAACATGATCATAGGTCACAATTTACACCAACATCGTTCTAAAGTAATATTCTTTATATCTTTCCGGGAAAAAGACCGGCTTCAGTGTAAATTGTTTTTGAAAATTGTGAACATAACTTTCAATATTCAGAAATGGACGCATAAAAAGGAATGGGAAGTTCGTTTTTATATTCTGTATAATTCCTTATTTTGGTAGTTGGATTAGGCTTGATATGTTGGGCAGCAGAAACATAACACAGGTGTTTTAAACGTTCAAGTCTTCAGATCGTAAGCCCATTGCATACCCTTTTTATCTCATGGGCTAAAATTTTGGATTTAAATCTGAATTTTTTAAAATGCTGTTGTTTTGATATTGACGGTTGACTGAGTATCGGTTACGAGGAATTTTACTACATGTAGATCTGCATTCGCATTAACCGATCTTCTAAAAGCTTCGATTGTCAAAACCTAGGAGATTAAAGTGATTCACATTTACTTTTCTTCCCTGAAATTTAATGCACCAAATATAAATAACCTTTCGTTAAACACATTCTATTGGCTATTTTCTCGCACTTTGTCAGCCTAATGTATTAGTGCCGATTCTTCACATTCTCATTGAACTCATATTCTCATTGAAACAATTTTGTGCATCCTCAAGCATCTCCGTATCAGTTTGTGCTACATCTTATGCCCTTGTTTCGCGATGTTTTCAGTACTATCAGACCTCCTGCTTTTAATCAAAGAGAGATCAAGGGTGGTGTTATGTTTAAACTATGATGAGCAATATACGAAGCCCATAGTACGGCCTTTAATATTGCATGATAAAGTACAAAAAAAGTTTTGTAGAAAGGTGTTTTCATTTCGGGTTTTTGATATGAACAGGTTTAAATCTTGGACATCCTCTGGCTTTGGACTTCGTACCAATTTAATACCGCAGTGAGTCAGCTAAAAATAGTCTTGAAAGATTTCTGAAGTGCTCCTTACTGATGCTGCACCTGACTACCTGCATCCTCTTCTTTTAATTCTCCGGCGAGATCCTTTTTACTTTCCAAAAGAGTTTCTTTGCCAACTGTTTTAGTTATTTCATTCTTCCCCATTTTTATTGGTATGGTTATGAGCTGGTTCTGTCTCCTTTTCACTGACATAATAACTGGTAGTTATACAAAAAGATTGTATCATTAAATCCATGTACAGTTGACAGAGTCAACACTGCATTGTAGTTTGAAAAATCATCACAACCAATTTGTTTTTCGAAAATTTTATAAAATTTAGCTGGATTTTTAACGCTGAAAATTAAGCAGACTACATTTACTACATTTTTACATCATTTTGCTGAGTCATTGTTTAACTCAATGCAGGAAACGTAAAAAATGTGCAGAAATGTCAAATGTGTAAAAATGCGGGAAAAATCCCGATGAGGATTCGAAGTCCGGACCTCCCGATTACGCATCGAACGTGCTATCCATTTACACAACGAAGGCATCGGAAAGTAGGAAAAAATACTGAACATACTCTCCCTTTTAAAGGGCGACTGGGGAGAAGGTGATCCAGTCGCCAGATACTGGTTGGTGGTTACGAATTATCGTACACTACCTTTTAGTTCGAGAGCCATTCGCAAAGTCATTTTTAGAATTTTTTGAAGGAAGAAAATCAAAGAAATTCGTAATGGTATTGCCGGGATTCGAACTCCGGACCTCCTGATTACGCGTCGACATGCTATTCACTTACACCGCGAAGGATGCAGAAAGGAGGGAGAAAATGTCTTATAATTCAATCAAAACCATTATCTCAGGCAGATCGCACTACACGACGATGCAACTTCATGGAAGTTCAGTAGTCGTACAACAACTTCTGCCCCCAAAAAACCAAACTGTATACTCAATAGACCCCGTTTCATTCTCCAAATTAATTACTTTTTCCTCCTCAAAACTGAAAATACCAAAGGAGATTATTGAAGAGATTCAAAAAACATACATGCACTCTTACCAAAAATAGATTCCTGCAAGCCTTTCTTTTCACTTTCTGATTATTTCAAAGCTTGAAGAAGGACCTTATCGCGATTAACACAGCACTTTTCCTGTTAAGCAAATTCAACTTCAAATAAATAAATAAAAATGATTCTGTAACATCTAAACCAGGGGTTCTCAACCGGTGGTACGCGTGCTACAGGTGGCACGCAAGAGAAAAATAGGTGGTACGCAAAGAAGCAAAGTATGTTTTAAATATTAAATTCAAAAATTAAAACTCCAACATCCTGATTGAGATTTTTCTCTAACACTCGTAAATTTATCCGATCTGAGCTTTGTTCAAGAGTGGTGGTGGTAGTAATAATTTGTAGTGGTGGTACTAAAGGTTTTCAATTTTTGCTTAGATGGTACACGTTAGTCAAAAGATTGAGAACCGCTCATCTAGACTTCTTTCATTAGTCATCATATTACCATTTCATTTTGAGAATTCAAAACAGATGTGTTTATTTAGTACGGTTAAATATTATTTACGTGCTTTAAGCGGTCTTTCATTAAGGAAAAATGAAAGTCTCCTATGTTTTTTAGAAACGCTTTCGTTTTGGCGATAAACGAAAATAATATCGGATTTAAGCAAAATTCATGTAATTTCTGAAAAAAAAATATTATTTAAAATTCTGTTAAATTTTAAATACCGTTAAAGTATATTCTATTACATTTTAATTCAATTATGCCCTGAACTATTAAATTTTAAGCATTTTAAAGTCAACTCACATTTTTTATTTTCATTTGCTTTTGAAAAAAAAAAATTATTTAATTTTATTTACGGGTAAATCATGAAACACGAATAAAGGTCTTAATTAGTACAGCTAAGCAACCAATGATCTAAACACTGTTCTTAAAAGATAATTTACACGACGGTGTAATCATCATTATTGTCATAGTTCTAAGGGCGTAAAAGCCGTTAACGCCGTTCTCACCTGAGGAAGACGGCTTAGGCCCCAACAAGTCAGCGAAGGTAATTGTGCGTGTATGCATGTGCATACACTGAAGCTGACTTTGCGAATTCGTCGACCTAATTTCAGTTTGTATTTTCTTTCTGTGGTCGTTCTTATACCAGGCTGACATGAATTTAAACAATTAGAATACTTAAACAAATTACTAATACCAGCAGGGTATGGTTGCCTAGCAACGAAGTTTAGCTTAGGCCACTTGTCACCGAAAAGCCCTCGTGTGGACGCCTTGTAAAATGGCATCTTGAATATAATGCTAATTAACTTCGATAATTTAAGAATTTATATTGAATATTATAAATTCAGAATTCAGAAAGAAATGTTACAAATGCCTAGGAACTAAAATTTGAATTGTTCTAAATGACTTTTACACTTTTTACCTATGAAAAATAAATTATTTATATTAAACTGTTCTATTAAAGTATTTTATATCTCGTTTTTTATTCATAGCCATAGCCATGGGGAAAAATTTTCTGTCAGTCACTGGGCAAAAGAAATTAATGGTCAGCGAGAAATTCTTCACTTGTACGGTGGTGTAAAACTTGAAGACATCAGGGGCATGCGAGCTCCTTTCCTCCAAGTTGGTGGCAACAGTATGTTTGAGATGTTGTACCAAACCAACTTCACTTATGATTCATCTATGCCTGTCCTGGACAACAATCCTCCTTTCTATCCGTATACCCTTGATTACAACATTGGCCATGAATGCATGATTCCACCTTGCCCAACGAAATCTTTCCCAGGCTTATGGGAGGTAAGTTTTCTACAGTAAATAGTTTAACACGATTTTTTTTTTAATTTTACATATATATATATATATAACTGCTATGTGTACAGTAAGACCCCGCTTAACGCTGTTTCGTTTAGCGCTGTTTCGGTTTAGCACTCTTTTATTTCAACCCGGGGATTCCACGAAATCGCTCGCAGCATACGGGGATTCCACGAAATATTATGCAGCGATAGGTTTCAAATACATATCCGAAAGAGTGTACTTGTATTTCTTGTTTGGTGCGGTATTGTACAGACATATTTTGAAGGGGTAAATGTGGAAGATGTCGAAGAAATAATTCAAGAAGCAGCGGCAAGTCTTTCTAATGATGAGCTCAAGGAATTAACTGAACAAGAATAAAACAAAAATGTTGACAGCAGTGATTCAGAAGAAGAGCAAAAAGAACTTTCGATGGCGTTTGTAAAAAGGAGTTTGTTTACCATAACTGAAATAATGGATCAATTCATTGAAAATGATCCGAATTTTGACAGGAGCTCAAAAGTAAGGCGTGGTGTTAGAGATGCTCTATCCGTTTATGAAGAACTTTTAAGAGAACAACGCAAAAGAAAAAGGCAAACAACATTAGATGCTTTTGTCACATAAAGGCAGAACACTGAAAACGCGGAAGGCTAACTAAATATGACTGACTTCGAATTTTATTTGTTTTTTTTTTTTTTTTAAGAATATTCGTTTTGTTATTTATATTTTGTTTTTATTTTTGCAAGAAATAATAATGTGGTATTAATTTGGGCTTTAAGAAATAAATGTTTGGTTTTATTTTTATTAAAAAAACATACTTTTTAAATTTAAAACCTAACCAATTTCCTAGCCATCTTCCCCTAACCCCAATATTTACATGTAAAGATAGCCTCGTTTAGCGCTGTTTCGCATTACGCTGTACTTTGATGGAACGTATCCCCCGCGTTAAGCGGGGTCTTACTGTATCTCGGAATTTTGTGTTCTATAAACTTGCAATGCATTAAGTTTCTTATATTTTCATTTTTCAGATTTATTCACAGTATTTTACTTAACCATATTCTAGCATAGAAGCTAAATAAATCTAATAATACTTCTTAAGTTTATTGAAAATTTAATTCTATTAACCACTTCCGCTAAAAAGACGTGCCACGCACGTTGAGATGCTTTTGTCTCAAACCGCGAGCGACGTGAACACCACGTCGATAGGCATTTATCGCAAAAATGAAAATAACGTGGTGCACACGTCGCCTAACAACGAGATTGTTTATTTCTTGAGTTACAGCTCTGGACTGCACTCGCAGACGCGGAGCGGCGTGAATGAGACACTTTACCGCTTGTTATATTGAAGCGCACGGCACCGCAATCGTGAAGTTTAGTCGTAGCGAAAGTGGTTAGTAGAGTCTACGTATTAAAAAGAAAATGGTTCCAATAAATGTAGAGTAAATTGTTCCTTGGCAGTTAAAAATATAACATAAAGAAAAATTCCTCAAGTATAAACTAAAATACGAATTAGATTACCTTACCCCTGTTCAAAGATATTTCCTCGAATTATAGGCTCTTTTGTTTGCAAAGCAATTATGAACTTATCCTTATGGATGACGTTCTAGGGTTAAAAAAAAATTATCTTTAGTTCGTTTTCGATACTTTCTTCGTAATCTTGCTGATCTTCCAGGATTCAAATAAAAACTTAGTGCAATACATTTTTAGTACGTGCTCGCTTTTTTTTTTTTTTTTTTTTTTTTTTTTTTTTTTTTTTTTTCTTTTAATATTTGCATAGCTTAACGTACACTATTTTCAAACAGAACTCATCTGATTTTTTTTATTATTATTATTTTATTTTTATTTTTAATTTAAACAGCATTTAGTAACCTATTCACTACATCTTCTCTACAAAGTTAAATACATCACATATTTTGCATAACGATTAAATGTTGTTAATTTATATCTCCCAAAACAGTTTTTATTTTCTTTCTGAATTCTTAAAATATATAGCTTTTATGCAGACATTTTCTTAATTGTACAGGGTTATTCATGAAAAAGAAGCACGCCTCCGGCAATAATATGATAAGTTGGGACGCCATCTTTCTGACGGGATTTGCACAGAATTGAATAGGAAAACAAAATAAAGCTGGAGCACTGCTTTATTTGGCAACAGTTATAGGTAGAAGTTGGTGGGACAACAAAATTTCACCATGGATGGTACAGGTATACTCCCGTCGCAGCAATTGTGCAGTTCCGCCCCAGTTTTGAGGGAGAACAACCCCGAAGAGCGGTTCGAAGACCTCCCACCCCTCTTCCCTAACCATCAACCTTTCAGAGCTTTCAGCTCACCATATATTTTGAGTGCCTCCTTACCACCACAGGTATTATACACGCTTACAAACATCCACGCTTTCTCCAGGATTCCAACCTGAGTTCATCAGTACGGCAGTCAGCATCACTAACTGCTACACCGAGTGGGCAGCTTTATTAACCCCTTCGCGCCGACTGTCACGTATACGTGCCAGCAACGAACGCACTTACCTACCGGCCGACACGCAGGCGTGCCAGAGAATTGTTCCATTCTCTACCGACTGTCACGTATTTGTGCCAGTACTTTGGAACGTTTTTTCAAACTATAATTTCTGCCACAAGATGGCACTGTATGTCCATATGGTTTCAGATACATGTAAATTAGACCTTCTACTCGAAATGAGAGAAGCATGACTCACATACACGTGTTTTTGATTATATAAACAAACGGGGAAATAAATGTTTCCGAATGGCGTGATTTATGACGTCTCTTTAAATCGCACTTTATTCGCACGTGGTAGTTGTTTACTGTAAGTAGAGAAGTTTTATTTGCTCTAAAGCGTTGGGTATTTTCGGTTTGCAGTTCAGTTTTTAGAAAATAATTAGATCTTGTTAGACGTGAATTCTTTGTTTTTACCGTTGCAAAGTCGAAGCGTCGAAAATGTTTAACAGAGCATGAAATAGCAGAAATGATGCAAAATATTTCAGATATTGATTCTGAAATTCTGATATTCTGATATTGATTCTGAAAGATTAACTGAAAGACATTTTCCAAAACTTTGTTCAGAAGAGACTGATAAGAAAATGAGATGACGATGCTTCGTTTGTTCACATTCCTGGAAAAATCCTCCAAAACGGCAAATGAGTTATTACGAGTGCAAGGAATGTAACGTAGGACTGTGTGTAGATCCCTGTTTTAAAATTTTTCATACGAAAAGAGAATTTTAAGTAATATATTTAGTTTTCAGATGTATAAGGTTAAAAGTCATAAAATGGTGAGTAATTAAAATAAAATGTGTAAAATATGCATTTAAACAAGAAATAAGGTAATTAAAGTATATATATAAAAATATTTATAAAGCATAAGCCGTTTAAATACTCTATAGAGCATTATTAAACAATGCGTTGATACTTCGGAAATTATGGATTTAGGCTTAGTAGCAAAAAAGCCCTCGGCCCTGGAGAGACGCTCGCGTAAGACACTGCCGGCCTCAGCGATAAGCGCGCGTTTTCGCTACCCGGCTCGAAGGAGTTAAGTGACACCAAATCACTAGACGGACCGTCAGAAGCAGAGAGCAAAGAACTTGACACCCGTATTGAAGGTGGGCTATATTATTTTCATGAGCCATCCTGTATAAAAATTATTTTAAGTGACAGAAAAACCTTAAAAATTAGACTTCGCATCTTTTTTCCTCTGTTGCTTCATTGGAAATAAAAAGGAACAAATTCAATAGAAAATCCTCGATAAGAAGCCACTTTTCAAGGTAGATAACTCTTATAGAAAGATTGAATTTAACATATCAGGCATAACACGTTAGCAGCGATTCCTAAGCTGTGCTTCTAGGAGCTATAAAAGCTCCGCGTGTGCTTCCCAGAGGCTCCGCGGATTCCAGAGAAATAAAATGCATAAAAATTGAGTGAAATAAAAGATAAAAAATGGAATGCCAAAATAGAAATTATATTCTCAGCGTAAATTTGTCAAGTTGAATTTTGCGCCTTCTGTATCAGATAAGAATCATTCATTCTACTGCTACTAATTTCAAATTCATTTTTAAATAAGACAGACGAGACGACGAAACTGAGCGGGACGCTGGTCTGTCACTTGTCAAGTTTTAATGGCCTTTCTGATGGAAATGGAACTGAATATCTGAATGATTTCTTGAAAATTCAGTTCCATTTCCATCGTTTCCCATTCCAGAAATTTGTCACTAATCTCCATCCTTCCAAAATTCCTGACCTCTACTCGTAGTTTCAAATTTAACGTATAAATTCGTATAAATTAGAGGCTGGCTAATCGTTTCAGAGTCAGTTCACAGTGGAATTTTAACTAATTCTTTTACCGAATTTTCAATGCGTTTGATCTGTTTGTGAAATTTATAATTATTAGCAGTTATTAGCCATAACTGCTAATACTACAATGCATTTTCGATAGAAAAAAGTTACATTATTGACTCAAAAGAAAACCGCTATCACATTTGATGAAACTGCTTGCAGAGGTAGCAGCATTTTTGGCAAACCATAATGCTGTATTGGTGATGGTTTCAAATGATGAAGACTGCGCTCAAACTTGCCTGCTTGGTCGAAATTTTTAGCAAAATGAACGAAATCATTTGCAAGGAAAATCATTACTCGGAAAAAATGCTAGTTTTTGATGCAAACGCCAAAGTGTCATATTTTAACAAGAAACTTATGTCTTGGTGTGCGTGGAAAAAAGATATCGATTGCTTATCTCTTCCAAAAAGCTTCCTCAATCAAGATTCAAGAAAAAAATACAGAAAACCTTTTATGCGAAGCCCTGAAAGAGTTGCTTGAATATTACTTTCCAGCAGATCAAGAGAAAGTACTTGATGAGGGGATCTTGACATGTTAAGTGCCCCATCTTAATAATACCTCATAAAGCCCCAGCTTAAACAGAGCAAAATAATACAAGATGCTCATAAATTTAGCATTTCAACTTCAAACTAAAAATGACGTTTCAAACCCGAAGTCTTTCGGAATTTTGACTGCATTTATAAGATAAATTCAAAATTTTATCTAGTTAAGTAAAATTAGTATTACTGCCTTTCTCACAGTGAAGCGTACTCTTCGCTTAGACTACAACTAAACAAAATACATATGTGTCTCAATGCAGAACCATACATTCTCGAACCATTATCAAAAACTGAACCTAAAATGTAGAAACAAAATTAAAAACAAAACAAATGAGAAACAAAATTAAAAACAAAACAAACGAGAAACAAAACAAAAAAATTATTTTATGCTAAGTCTTAAATTAGGTTTACTGTTGTAGTACAATCCGCTCTGATTAAACTAACTACTCAAATTAAATTGGAGTTATCTTCTATACTGAATAATAAAAATTTGGAATAATAAGTAATGAAAGTAAGTTTATTCTAGGGAACTTGTCATTGTTGCTCTCACTAATAATGGAAATTCTATTGTTATACAAATGGTGTGATTTATTGACTTTTGAATGAAATTCGGCATGTGGCAAGATTTTGACCATATCATATGTATTGGTGATAGTGAAGAATAAACTAAATTTTTATGTTACATTTTTAAATTTTTTTAATTATTTAATTTAAATTTTTTTTATTTAGTTTCTTTAAAATAAAATTCCACTGCATGGACATTACACAACTGTTTTGATGGTTCTTTAGAATGCCTTACTACCTTTCTCCTCTTCCTATCCCTGTTATATTATTCTTAAATATTGTTAACTTGTAAGACACAAGATAAGCTTAAGAAGCTCCGCCAAAGAAATTGTTCCTAAGAAAAGCTCGGCGGATCAAAAAGGTTGGTAACACTGTGTTACGGCATTTTTAAGAGTTTAAAAATTCAAGCTTTGACTCATACTTTATATTTTTGTTTATATATGCGTCTAAAATATATGATGCAAATAATTTGACGCTTCATTACACCTTTTTTAGTTTTTTTTTTTTTTTTTTTTTTTTTTTTTTTTTTGGTGCACTCATAATTTAAAAACTTAATTTTATTCTCATCTGCTCTAGGTTGGCATGGTTATGTGGAATGACTACAGAGGAGGCCGATGCTCCATGGGTGACGCATGTGCCAATCCTGATAATGCAGAGGATGTTTATAAAATGCTTCTGAAGAATTTTGAGCGACATTACAAATCAAATCGAGCTCCATTTGGCCTGTTTTATCATGCAGCTTGGTTTACCACGCAGCATTACAGAAAAGGATATCTGAAATTCATTGATTATATCAATTCCAAAGATGACGTATACATCGTAACTAACTGGCAAGCTATCCAATGGATAAGAGATCCCACGCCTTTATCTAGGATTAAATCCTTCAAACCTTGGCAGTGTCCAAAGGACCCAGAAAAGCCAGGGCCTTGCCATCATCCCACTTCCTGCAATTTGAATTACAAAGGAGGAAGCAGGAATTTGAAAACTTGCCAGCCCTGTCCATCTGTTTTCCCCTGGTCTGGTAGAACTGGATTCGATGAAGTATACGCGGTATGAAATTGTGGTTGACATTCCAATTCGAATTGTGATTGAAAATTACCGCATTGCGCATTCGATCATTTTTAAATGAACAATCTTCTGAGTGATCTGCGTATTCCTTCCTTACAAAATGACAAACTTCGAAACAACGATCTCGGGTAAGATCATAATGGACATTTGTAAAAAGTTATCATTAGTTCTTAGTGAAACTACTAAGGGAAAAAAAAATACAATGGAAAATTGTCTCTTTAAATAGGTGTTTCAACCGCAATGCCAAATAGCGTAAGATGGAAAATAACCTCATGTAGTATTTATAATGTTAGATTTTTACGAACAAAGCTTCTATGACAAAATTTTAGTTATGCTCTTCAAATAGACTCTGTATAAATAGACTGTTATTTAAAAAAATGTACGGTCGATTAATTTCGAGAGATAAATGGAAATTCATATATATATATATATATATATATACAGGATGGCGCAGAACAAATGGGGCAAGGAAGATCTGTGTATTATTATAGTATGTGTATGTTGACATTTGTGTTGCCTAAAGTCCAAAAGAGAACTTACTCTTCCAGTGTGTTGTATGGACTGCTCAAAGAATGCAGTTTATGTAAATAAGCACGAAACTATCAAAGCAAAGCAAATTTATACGTATAATTATATAATGTACAAACCTATCAGAAAATTACTAGTAAATACATCCAATGATCAGTTTTTGAATCACTTTTGTTTTAATCAATCTAATTATTTTATACTAACATATGTAAAACACTGTTTTGAATCCAGTTATGTGATTTTCACTAAAACGAAAGGTTTATTTTTCACAAGAGTGAGTAAATTATGTTAAGAATAATATATCATTTTTATTGCCCCATTACTTCTGCGCAATGCTCTATAATAAACAATTTTTTTTTAAGTTCTTCTTAGGAAGTATCTCTAATTAAAAACAGTTAAGTAGACATCTGACATTCCTAAACTGCATTTCTTTACGTCGACTCCTCATTGTAATGTTTTTACTTAAATAAGTTACACAAAATTAGGCCTAAATGCAATTTTCGTGATGCATCTAAAAACTTTTTAACGTCTTGTTTAATAAGTTTCTTTAAAAAAAAACTGTTTATTCTCATGCAGCAAAATCTATTTGCAAAATATACTTTTACAATTATATATATATATATACATATACATATGTAATTTTTTTATTAAAAAAATCTGGATTCTTTATATGTATCTGTATATGTGTGTGTGTGTGTGTGTGTGTATATATATATATATATATAAAGCCTTGCAAAGTGAAAGCTTCATCATTTTGAAAGCAAAGGAAATCTCTTTTTATTTTTCCTCTCACATACATCCACGAGTTTCCATGTAGAATTTTTTTAATTTATGAATTATTTCAAAAAAATACTATAAATCTTTCAGTAAACAGGTGCCTGATAGTGCTAAGAAGCCAGCAGCTTAATAAAAAAGCTATATTACAGTACTTTTTTTAATTATCAACTAATTTATCAACATATGACATTGATAGGTTGTTTTCTGAATTTCATTAATTAAAATATAGTCATAACTACTGTAGATTACATATTCTTCTTGCTAAATGTGCATAATTAAACACTTTTAATTAGATATCATAATTGATTTTATTAGTAAATATATGCATAAGTTCATTATTAATTATTATTGCTGTATGTCAGAAAATAAGATAAACAATTTTGAACTTTTCATACAATGTGACATTGGTCCAGTTACATGCAAGAAGTTTACTAAAACAATGATAACAATTTTTTGCAAGGTATTTGAAAAAAATTTAAACGCCCCCCCCCAAACTAAAAACTTTAACTTCAAATTCATGCAAATAAGAAGTCTTAATTATAATCAGTCCTTCAAGAGAAAAAAAAATTTCCATAGATCCTGAGGTTTCAAAGTAGGAGAGAGATTTCTTGCAATACTTTTGAGCTTTCTGTTTCACCATAAATATCAATTTCTAATGCTTTCATTCTAGTGAAGTTTTCCATGCTTTCTTGAAATAATCATCCACAAAATGCCTATTCAGTGCTACTTCATACTTTTTAAGAACATTCCTTTACAGTTCTATGAACACTTGTGAATTGTCAATTATATGTGTACAGCTGCTCTGCTGTAATTTAAAATTTCTCCATTTTCGGAGAGTGGTGGTGGGATTTGTGGATTATGTTAAATTAACTGACTTTTATAAAATACTGTATTCTTCATTTAGTGTAAAGATTATGTCATACACAATCAAAAAGAAGACTTTATGTATAATAAACATTTGTAACTCGAAACACAAAAAATTTGAACACTAAATTTAAAAAAAAAAAAAAAAAAACTGACATTTTCAAAAGAATATTCCCAGATAGCTAAACTAAATTCACATTTATTTTAGAATAACTACAAAATTTTCCTAGTGAATGTTATTAAAGTAAGAAATATTCATGCAATACACATATTAAGTACTGTAAGGTTTAATCAAGAAATAATGAAACAGAACCGCATTCTCTTTTCCTAAATTTAATCATTATTTAATCAAAGAAGATAATTTTCAATGTTTAACCCATAATATGTATTGTTTTAACCCATTCTTGATCAAGCTTCCAATCCAAAAAAAGCACTTTTTTTTTCATTGCCAAAAATAAATGTTCTATCCTGAGCTTGCAAATGCAAAACATTTTGGCCAGTATACAGTTGTGTGCTTGACTGAATTTGGGAGCAGAGTGTCATACATGTGATAATAGTGTACAATAATCTCCATTTCTCCCAGGAATGCACCCAAATTAATTTAAAAATTCTTTGATATTATATATATCAAATCTATTGCTTTGATGTATTTAAGATAAGTAAGTACATAAAAAATATTAAAATATATATATATATATATATTGGAAAATAATTTTACAACATTACTATGAAAATGGCTTTACAATCTTTCTTTACCATGAAGGCATAAAAATCACACTGAAATAAATTACTGCAGATTATTTCATGGGAAAAGATTTCATGGGTCTTGAGGTTGCAAAGTAGAAGATACATTTCTTTCAATAATTTGAGCTTTATGTTTGTTTTGCCATAAATATCAATTTCTATTATAAATATCTATTGCTTACTTTGTCAAAAAAAAAATGAAGTCTTGGCTATTTCATGTCCTCGGATTTGCTTTGAATCTATTGTAAAAGCTATTTTGGCATGCAATAATAACTACAGAAAATACAATAATATTATGTTTTCCATCCAAGGCTTCAGTTTTAACAAAAGTTCCAATTTAAGTTATGTATGTTGCACAAAGTGCATACTAGAGTATGGCGCATCTTGGCCAAGTACTCAGTATGTGAATGTAGTTCAACATCATGCATTATTAACAAAGAAATGAACAATATTAAATAAAGTAATCAATAACACAATACTGTATGCAACATCATGCATTTATGGTGTATTTGTAATCTCTTTTTATCCTATTTTAAGAGAGATAAAGCAATGAAAAGATAATACATTTCTACTTCATCACAGTATAACATTCAATGAATGATAAAATAAGAAAAACAAGTGTTTCATCAAATCACTGGTCAAAGAACTCATGAATGGGATTGCCATGGGCTGTCTATATGGGCACATAGTAGATTAGATAGCCTGTCTATTTTTTCAAGTTACTGCCTGTTCTTATATGACATGCGTTTTGCAATTTATGATTTATTTAATTTCCACTGTTAAACTGTGGATCCAGGAATTTTGATTGTTTTATCTACCTACATTAGACCATTTTGTAGAAGTTGTGTTAGCTGCTTTTGAAATTTAATTTGCATATGGTTAGTATTGTCATACGTAATTTTCATACTGCTAATTTAAATTTACACAAAAATACAAAAGAACTGGATAAATCACTTTTTTAAATGCAACATGTGAAATTTGCTTATGACAGTTAAATACACACAGAGGGAAAGAAAACATTTAACAGATGAACTAATAGCTATAATTTTTTGAAAATTTTAAGTGTCCTTTATGTTCAAACTAATATGGCATACTAATTATATGATTTTTTCCTTCTGGCAAAGAAATCATTCACAATATGACAGCACTGATCACAACATATTTCTTTTTTTAACTGTGTTTTATTTCAAAAATTATTACAACAAGTCTTTAAATATTTAAAATCACACTTACTGCAAACAACTGATATGTGACATTACAAACATGTATGTAAACATTTAGATTTACCGATCACTGATCAATCGCAACGTGTTACGATTATTTAAGATAACACAGTCACATGAATGAAAAATTAATATTTAAATTATAGCAAGGAAAGTCGATTTTGAGTTGAGATTTGATGTAAAATATGGAACTAGTCAGGAACTTTCAACAGCATTTAGCAAAAGGTTCTACATTACAAAGGAATGAAACAGCTGTAAACAACAAATTTTCCATAGTAAAAAATGAAAAATAAATACTGACTATTCACAAAATATATACAAATGTACAATTTAATAATGTATCTAATAAACATTATTCTGTGAAGGCAAATTACATAATATTTAAATACTTATATATGTAACATGAAAGCTGCCTGAAATTAATACATAACTTATCCAAGATGGTAGAAATATATAGAAAAGAATCTGCAACCATGTATAAAACAGGCAAATTTGATTACGTTACAAGAATTAAAACTTCATATTAATTACAAAGCCTTTTTTACCCTGGACAAAGGAGCAGTCTGATGGTATTTCATAGTATATGAAAATTGCATCACAGAAATATTTCAAAGAATGACTTTTTAAAAATTTCTTAATATAGCAAAAATACTTACACAAAAGGTAAGAAAACATGTTTTAGATATTAATATTTGAAATGCATTTAATGAATATTTAAAATATTATATATGAGAATAACATTACTATTTTATACTGAAAAGGAACACCAAAGTGAGTTTAATGCTCCTTCAATCACATCTTTACAAAGAGAATAATGCTAATTTAATATTTCACTCCAGCAGATGGTTAGACAAATGTGCAAAATGTATAATTCATTTTTTTTTTTTTTAACTTTACACATTATATATGTCTATTAGCACAAGTATGATTGATAACAAAATACGAGATTGGAATGTCAATATTTATTTGTAATACGTTACTTCGAATATAAAGCAAAGTGCAGACAGAAATTTTACTCTAGATCTGTTTTTTTCACACATACACAAAAGCTTTTCTTTGAATCAAATGCAGATTAAACAAAATCAGACTGTATTATGACTAGCAAATTTTTAATTTTTTTGTCACTTAAAAAGCAAATATAACAATAAAGTAAAAAAGGAAAAACATAAAATACATATTGCATAGATATAACACGCATAACAATAGCATTGTACAAAATAAGCTCCTATTTTTAAAGTCATGAAAATTTTAATTAATAGTATACATTTTTACATTTTATAACACACTCAATATTATAAAAACTATTTAAAATGTTTTCAGTCTATAATATCAAAATCAAATCCTAATTTTAATACAGATTGAAATTCCAGATTTTCCGATGTAGATCTTCTTTGGCATATTTTAATGAGAGTACTTTTTTCTTTTGATTACAGATTAAAAACATGGGAAAATAATTACAAAACTATAAAAGTTTTAGTAAGCACTGAGTAAAATTCTCCCTTGTCCCAAAACATGTCACTAGAAGAAAATAAAGTCAAAAATTAACTGGAGTTTCGCATTTCCAAATGTTCTGTATGTAAATACCACACCACATTTCACCACATTTATCACACTGAAATCACCACAAAAGAAACTGAGAACTTTCTTTTATGGCTCTTGAAAAAGGAAATCTGAAAGAAAATTTAAAATCATCTTTAAATATAGGAAACAAAAATATATAACTATTTGTTATTAATATTTCAATACATTTAAAATAATTTTATGAATTACTTTAAAGTATCAAAATTAATACTATGCCTGCATTATACTATTGCCATCACACAAATAAAAAAGATAATAATTATAAAGCAATCCAATGATAAATTGAGAAAATATCTTCATGCACATAAACGACACTTGACGGTAGATAATAGACAATAATACTTCACTTCAGTAGATAAATAAAATTTAATTATAAGATATTTTTTCATTTCAGAAATAATTCTTCTTCTGAAACAAATTCAATAAAATAAATTGCTGATAAAACGGAAGTTTAATTATATACACTCTTAAACAAAACAAAACAAAACAAAAACAAAACAAAAAAAAAAAAGACGCACCGAGAAGATATAAAGCAAACTGGACACAAATTGATATACATACAGGTTTCGACGGAAAATGCAAAATTTTACATTTTGGCTGCCAATGAATAAACAGTTGTCGCTACAGCACATCTGATCTGCGCAACTGGCAGGATATTTAAGAGGAGAAATTACGATTCCAGGTCATAAATTCTTTACGAGTGTGCGAACAATATGCGCAGATGTCAGAATTTGAGAGAGGTCGTGTAGTTGGGCTTAAAGAAGACGGTTGGTCTTATCGGCAAATAGCTCGATATTTTAGCAGTAGTGATGTCACTGTTAGACGATGTTGGCAGGAATGGGTGAACCATGGTCGCACACAGCATCAAGAAGGATGGGGTAAGCCTAGAGAAATGACAGAACGTGAAGACCGAGCAATTGCCAGAGCGGTACTCACAGCTCAAGATGCATCATTATCATCGACTGTACATGCAACTAGTGCTTCAGTGACCGCAAAGACCATTCATAGACGGCTCACAGAAAGGGGGATGAAGTCACAGCGCCCCTTGCACCGACTACCATTGACCTCTGTACAACGTCAAGCCTGTTTGCAGTGGTGTCTGGCTCATTCACACTGGAATGTCACTGACTGGAGTAGAATAGTCTTCAGTGATGAGTCCCACTTTGAACTGAGCCCCGATGACCAGCGACGGCGAGCCTGGAGATGCCCCGGACAGAGGTGTGATACCAACCTGACTGTCTTCCGGCAACCAGGAGTGATGGTCTGGGGTGCCATTTCATTTCATAGTAGAACCCCTTTGGTTGTCATCCGTCGCAACCTTACAGCACAGTGGTACATCGATGAAGTTCCGTTGTGTTGCCCTTCATGTCACGCCATCCTGGGCTTACATTTCAGCAAGATAATGCCCACCCCACACTGCACATTTCTACTGCTTGCCTTAGTGCTTGCCGAACATTACCTTGGCCAGCAAGGTCGCCGGATCTCTCTCCTATTGAGTACGTTTGGAGCATTATGGGCAGGGCCCTCCAACCAGCTCAGGATGTTAACGATCTAATGTGCCAGTTGGACAGAATTTGGCACAATATCCCTCAGGAGGACATCCACAACCTCTATCAATCGATGCCAAGCTGCCGAGTAACTGCTTGCATAAAGGCCAGAGGTGGACAAACGCATTACTGGCTTTTTCACTTTGTGAAGCTCTATCACTTCAATAAATCATCTAATTTTTCTCAAACTGTAATAATTTGTTTTTCTGTACATGTACATCACTTCTACCGATTTCCATACCATTCGAATGACTCCTTCTTGTTGCTTTTTTTTTTTTTTTTTTTTTTTTTTTTTTTTTTGTCTAAGAGTGTATATGTTAAGAAAAGCCCATGTTTCAAGAATATTTAGAAAAGTTTATATGTTTAAAAATTTTGAAAGCTTTGCAATGAATATTAAGAAAAGGACATGTTTAGAAATTTAATGTAGATACTCAACAATATTTTACATTAAAATAAACGAAGACACGTGTAAAAGTAATGCCTTTGCTGCTAAGCAATAAACATAAGAAGATTGGCTTAATTAGAGTAAAGCACATTAGGGCTATAGGCCTAAGGAAAGAGATGCCTTCATGGAGGGAAACTCGCTGGCATACACGCATAGGAAAACACCTATGCAGCCAGCTCATTTGCCCGGAACCAAGCCAGAACTGCTAGTATTCATGTCTTTATACAAAAATACTGCTAGTACTACCATACAGAATACTGCTAGACACTGCTAGTATTCGTGCAATTTTATCGTTTGGCCTCTGGTAGGCAAACAAAAGAAATATTTGAACATTAAACTGTGTATCTAGTAAATTGACTAATGTGACACTTTAATTATTTAAATTTTTTAGATTACAATAAAATCAAGACATCAAGAAGTGTCTACAATTTTCTTAACCTAGACTGGATATAAAAGATGATGCATGCAATTAAAAAATTTATATTACAGAAACAAAGACTTATAATGTAATAAAAGCATAAGTGCATCAAGTTAAAATACTTTAATAATGTTCCTTGATAAAACTCTATATTAAGATTTTTATTAGAAGAACCAATAAATTATGAAAAATTTTTTTTTGAATTGAATGACAATACGTTTTTTTAAAAAAAGGGACCAACAATTTCAGAAAGTGATCTTATTGACGAAGCTACTAATTCAGTATTATCTGCTAGAATAAATTCAGTATGTATTAATAAGGAGTTAATTGAAGAGATCTCTTATGAAGGTATTAATATAGTATTTTTAATAACAAATGAGTGTGAGCTAATAAGTAGTTGAAGGCTTTGCTAAAAGTCTCGTTTAATTTATTACTGAAATCTTTTAGCTACCCTAATTTACATTATGTAACAAAAATTCACATTTGACGCCATAAACAAACGACTTTTAAAAAAATCTTAATATATTTTAAAGCACTATTAACAAGAATGGCTAAGATTTGTGGAGACTAAATTCAGATTACTTATCCAAGCTATTATATTATATACTACTACACACTCACTTTTAAATAATCTACAATTATTAATTTTAACACATCAGGAAGAAAGTTGTTAGCGAATTTCCCAAATAAAATCATACCTATTAAACTGTCATGTCGTCTTCATTTAAAGCAGGTACTGGCTCTCTCCAGTATGTAAAATAGCTAAATTCTTCTGGTGATGAAAATATAGTAGTCGGATGGCCATTAACATTAACTGAAGGTTTCAGTGGAGGGAAAACATGATCAACCTGATCACTTAGTGATGTGTATCTATGGGCAATAAGAAAATAAAAATTAAATTTCAATCCAATTTCGTGTATTGAATGCAAATTACAAATGTAATAAAAAATAACAGTACAGCAACAGAAAAAATACAAATAAGGAATAATATATAAAAAATGCATATTTCATAAACTTCATAACAAAAAAGCAGAATTATGCATTTTAAAAACTATTGAAAGCAATATAAGATTTTTTAAAAATTATGTATATGCCAGCTGTTTTTGCTAGTTTCAAAGCTGATCAATTTCTTAAAAGAAAATGATTTAATTTTTTAAATTCAGTATTAGAATTTAAATGTTTTAAAAATCTGTGATTAGTTTATACTGAAGATATTTATCTAACAAATAATAGAAGATTATATATTTATACATACGAGGATTGGAATGTTTGTATAAGTTCTAACTTTAACTCTCCTCGGTGATTTATTGTAAATATGCGAGTGAGAGGAATTCCTACAGCTCTGTAAGCCCAAGTATCCTAAAAATTAAAAAACACGAAATGTCAAATACTTTTAGCACATTTAAAATAAAATTAAAAGAATGAATAATTTCACAAAATTATACTTCTTAAATATTAATTTTCTAACATCAACAATCAAAGTATTTCATAAACAATACCTGGAAGAATATTTTGAAAATATTTTATCAAATCCTTATTAACTGAATGAACTTTTAATTAGAAATGCTTACCTTATGCAAGTTAGCTTCTCTTTCATGAAAATTTTTTAAATTACTAATATTTTCCATCAATTTTTTTTTTTTTTTTTTTTTCTTCTTGAGACTTTAAATTCCCATAACAATTTGTGCATTAGGTGACTGTGCCTACTGTTCACTATTCAGGCTTCTGACACAAGCACCTGTAAGCCTGTTCAGTTGTTACTTGTCAACTCTTGGTGACAACTGTACAGAACTCATGTGTGAAACCAATCATCACTATGTGTGGCAAATCATTATGCATTACAAGTTTTATAAGATTAAAAAAATTTAAAAATCTACGTTATTACCATAATAACTTAGCATCATTTGTTATCAATGAATCAGAAGCACATTCATTTGTTATGAATAAATGAATGATCATGAATTAACAACAATGGGAAGACTATGAATGACTCACTATGCTGGAAGAACTTTTATAGCTTCTCACATTCATACTGATATTTTATGTATTATCTTAAAGTGGCATAATATCAGCTGCTCCAGTAACTTTAGCTGTAGGACATATAATAGGAAGTTTAAGAGTTTAGACGCCTGATATGCAAAATGTCAAAATTCCACATAAATACCTAGATTTTCTTTATACCTTCAAACAGTGTCAAATGTAAGTACTTCACAGATAGAAGTTTCATTATTCTCACGATTTTCAAAACATTTATCAGAAAGATGGTATGCTAACACTGTATCATTTCTGTGAATGTAAATTTGCACAAAATTGAGCTATCTAAAAATCACACTGGAATTCTGAATTTAATCGTATGAAAATATAACATGAAAGATTATCTGCTTAAAATACTGGCATTTTCTTCATAACTTCTATTTTATTTTAACATCTAAGAATTTTAATGCTATGTTAGACTTTATTTAAATAATACTGGAAATCATTAAAATTTACAGAACAAGTGTAAAAAATAATAATTAAAAATAAATAAAAATTCTTACATTAATTTTGTTCCCAAAGCCAGCATAGAATGGATTTCCCATGACAGGTGGAAACAAAGTTTGAATATCTTTCAAACAGCTTATCTTGAATTCCTCAGGCTTGCATTCAATTACTTCCCTTTAAAAATATATAAATTATTAGAAAACAAACTAAATATATATAAAAAACTTCATAAAAATAATTTTCCTTTTTATAAAATTTTATACACAACAATAAAAAGTTTCACTATTAATAACCAATTATATCACAGATTCTTATTAAGTTTGTAAGGTATTTTCTCCCACTTTACCACATGTCTTCGCTATGTAATTGAGAAGCACATTTGGCTGGAAGTAGGAAGGTTCAAGTTCCGAGTTCAGAGATTGAGGGCACTGCTCATTTCTCCTGTTTTCTGACTACAAAAATTCTAAATAAATGCAAAAAAATTATAATAAAAAAAATTTTGATTTTAATATTACCTAACTTTTTAAAAGCACATTACACTCATAAATCAGAAGGCAATAATTTATTATTTTAAAAGCCTAAAAAAGGCTAAATAATACAGTGAACCTTCTCAAAACCAAAACTATTTCAGTAAGTTCAACTCTTCGTCAAATTACTGCAAGTGCTAGCCTTATATTCATATGGATACATGTAATATTATAAATACCAATTACAGCACTCTGCCAATATGGCTTGTGATCCTCACCCCGTGGCTGTATTGTTCATTAAGGTAGATGACAAACTTAATATGGCTTTGTACAACATATTATAATCAAAAATGCATATACAAAAAAACAGGAGTGATCCGAAAGTAAAAGAAAACGTAAAAATTTAGTAATGCAAAAAGTATGGACAGTAACATGACACAATATGGTGTTCAGAGAAATGTGCAGCAAGACATAACTTTTTAGCAGTAAAATATTTCATCACCAAAATTATTTACATATTTTACTAACAAGTGGTACTTGTGTCAGAAGCCTGTTCAGTTGTTCAGCACAGTTAACATTTTACCGACCAATCGCCTATTAATCGGCTTTTTATCGCCAATGCCTATCGACCAATAGTCTATTTATTCATTTGTATATATAATTTTGATACTGATAATTGCAATAAAAAAAGGTGGTGCCCAACTAGGTATTACAGCACTTCAATATACAAAATTTCAAGGCTCTACAGCTAATTGCTTTCGAGCGACGCAAGATACATGCCTACATACTGACATCATGGGGAAAAAAATCCATTTTACAATATATTTTGGAATAAAGAGTCCTTTATTCTGTCTGTAAATACAGATGTAATGCAAAAAATTGACAAAAATCAATACGGGAATGCTCAAAATGGATATTTCTGTTGAAAGCGAGACCCGTAATTTTCCGTGATCACAATATGTCTTTTATTTCAAACAAGGAAGTAGAGAAATAGAGGGGTTTTTCCCCCCTTAGGGTAACATTATTTGTATTATAAAGGTAAATTTGCAAGAAGTTACAATTTACTTATGTTGGTACATTAACACAGAGAGTAGATTATTGATATTTTTTTCAAAATAAAATTAATTTGAATTCTGTGAAAATAAATAATTCTAAATCAATGAAGAAATTATAATTATCCTCTTCTAAATTAAGAAAGTACATAGTTAATAAGAAAGTACATAGTTAGTCTCCTTCCGAACATTAACACGCTACATAGAAGTTCCTTCCTATTACTTGACATTTATATGCAAATGGAGAGAATTATTAAAGCAGAATTTATACATAATATTCACTCTTAAAAACTTTTCTATCAGAAACTGAGTATAAACATAAAGCTCAAAAAGTTAAGCTGACAGCAATAGTTAAGGGCCCAATATTGTGATTATTCAAGAGGTACTCAACAATGACATGATAAAGAAGATATATATAAAGAGTGTTTTACAAGATAACTCTCCAAATATATAATGTTTCAACAGGGTAGATCTCAAAACAACTAATCATGGCTTCGAACACACACTACACAGAACACAATGCAGGCATAATAAATTTGAGTTGCAAAATCAGCTTTGCTTTACTTTCTTCTCTTTCATTATTCTCATTTCAATCCAAAAACAGTGAAAACGTTCGTACAAAAAAGAATGCTTAGATGCTCTACAGCAACAAAGATACTTTACATCTAATCAACAAAATAGACTGCAGGCAATGTTTCCCTTGTCCTTTAAACAGTGAAAGATTAGTTTAATAAATACAGCATTTCAAGTATCAGATGGCCTAAAATTATGTTATGAAGTGGTCCACATCATTTGAAGATTAAATAAATGCATACTCCTACTGAAATTCTCAGCTTTAGAAAAGCTTCAGATTAGTTATTGATTAAACATGAATATCACTTACCAAGCATTTTTTAAAGACGACAGTTAGTGATCAGCAATGCAAATTTTAATGAAAGGCTTGCACAAAATATTAAATTGTTATTAGACATTTACTTTTATAAAATAAATAAATTTAAATTACGTCCAAAGGGGTGTATTTTTAAACATTTTTTGCGTTACCTTTATTTATTAAATATCACATTCTTCGCACTTAAACTATAAAATTCAATTCAAGAGCAATATCACAAAATAATTTTTAAATGAGCATATCTTTAGAATTTCTGATACACAGTTTCACTCAGTGGAGATAAAAATGTCTTTTTTCTGTACAACATTGCCATTGCTCACTTTGAAATCCTTAAGATTGTTAATCAAAAATTCATTAAAGTTTTACAAAATATGAAATCTATGATAAAACAAATTACAAATTTCGGCTTCGAGATGGCCCATATTCGTAGGATTCATTATGTTATTCAAAATTTAATGGCTCTAGGTACTGAGAAACATACATACATTTATGCAGATTCTTCATTATTTAATTTTTTTAAATATAATACAGGGGGATAATATTTGGTTGCCACAATTTGAAAAGTGAAACAACACTTGTAGTGAATCAACGCAAAATTCCAAAATGAAATTAATAGTCCTTCTAGGCAAATTGCCCCTTTCAAGTGAAAATAATTGTGCATGCACAAGCAGCACATTTACACCAAAATTTATCACACATTATTTTCTTTCTTTCATTTCAGTAACCTTCTAAGGACAAGGTTACTCAAATTGTTGAGCATCAATTACCAATGGTTCATTACAGTATTTCTGGACACAAAAGATTTAAATGAATGTTCAAAATGAATATATAATTGCCCCCCCCCCCCACTTTTAACACTTTGTTTCAATCTTTATTATATATATAGTATATTCTGGTTTGGGATGCCCTTAAAACACTGCATAAACAATTTTCATTTCTACTTTCCTGAAAATTTAGAAAATGAAATGTGGATAAAAGACCCAATCTGTATTTTGAATATTGTGCTTTATAATAGTTTGGTTCACTAAGAGATCAATTTTTAGATATTTCATGAGACCAAAATTTCATGAATGAATTTTTTTTTTAATTCCACAATTTTTGGTTAAAAAGAAGAGATGTATAGATCATCTACAAAATGATAATTTTTTTTTTATGCCTTTCAACGTATCCTATCTTAGTGAAACTGGATTTCTACCCATACTATTATAATTAAAAATAAATATAAGACGTGATTGCAATTTGAACCTGACTTGCACTTGAAAGTAATGACAATAAAGCCTGATATTAGTTACAATGAAGCCCATTCATTTATCACATTAATCCTTTTCAATAATAATCCTTAATTTTTTATACTATATCACAATTTGTTATACTGTACTTTTGTATACTGTATACCCACTACATACTAAATTATGTATGAAACAAATTTTATTATAATTTAATATAGAGTGTCAGATTTACGTACAAGCTGCACAAGCTGTAGGTTAGAGCCTCCACATTTTTGTGGCCACCCCTAAAAACTGAACCATATTCCATATCAACAAAATGAACTCATATCCTCATAAAAAGCTCCATATTTCAAATAGCTTAGGATCTCGTCAAATCTAAATCCAGTCCTGTTAATATACTACAATATACAGAGACTTAAATTTTATTATAATTTAAAAGTTTGATTTATGATGCTTTAACGTTGGACATACATTTTCCTTACTCATGTGGCACAAAATTTAAAAAGTTTGTGAACCCCTGTTCTAGGAAGTTTTAAGGGTATGCAATGGTTTTTTTCAAATACATTTTTACATAATGTTTAGGATTAAAAAAAGTATTTTAAATGTAGGCATTTTCTAGAAACTGTTTAAATTTCAGGTTATCTATAATGCATTTGGTGAACATAAACAAAACTAGACTCAACAATAAAACAGAACAAGATTTTGCAAATTAGAGATAAATTTTAATAAACAGTTCACTCAAGTTCTAATAACTCACCATTTATTAAAGTGACATAAAACAAAACATAATGTTTCTATTTCAAATCAGGAAAAAAGTGATTTAAAAAAGGGATGGGCAAAGCAGAATGGACTAGACAAACTTATTACCATTCTTGGACTAACTACACTTTTTTAAAACATATTTAATGAGTAAATGGATTACAGTAAATGCACACAAATGATAAAGATTAAATTCGATGACAATTCTTATCATTTTTATTATATTCACAGCTTACCGATGAAGAGCACTAATGAGAGATGTGGGTGAAAGTAATAAAGGTCCATCAGGAAGAAATATTTCTCCTTGCCGCAGCCTTCGGAGATACTCCCTTGTAATTCTTGCCTGACCAATGGCACGAGCAGATAAATAAAGAAATTTGTAACCATTGTTCTTAATTTTTGTAAAAAGTTTTGCAACACCTAGTTGAGCCCAACTATGTCCAACCATAGGCAAAATATGACCTAGGACATCTGACCTAAAGAATTATATAAAACATTTTGTTTGTAAACAGGTATATAACATACAGTTAGAAAACAAATTTAAAACTATATCAAGTTTAAAGCCTTCTAATATACTTCTAATGCAGCAAAGCAATTATGACAGAAAATAAATGTACTAGACTGCCATATAAATTACTCAGAATTTTTTTAAATTAATTTCATTTTTAATTAAAAGAAAATTCCTCTAAAACAATAACCTATAATGACCAAAACACACAAAAATTAAAAATTAATATTAAATGCATCAAAAACTATGAAAAATTAAACAGAGAAAACAGCAAAACGAAAAATGAAATTTAGAGGGAAAGATATGAGAACACAATTTAAAGATATATTAAATTCCTGTCTTTTCCTCAAATACAATGCAAAAAGGGGAGAACAGAAAGGTTGAAGTTTCTCTGCATTATGTTTGCTATAAAAAGCACCTGCTCAGATGTACCATATAACTTAATCAACCTGTGCAGTAGCAAGAAACTAAGTGTGCAGCAGTAACAAATGAACATTACAAACTGTAGAAGAATACAAAGTGGCCGAAATTACTTGAAAGCAGAGAAGCATGCCAGACCTAATGAAAAGCAAATAATAAATTTTAAGTAAGTAGTTTTATTATGTGCTTTTCAAATACTTTAAAAAAAGAGTGGACAAGTCTTTCAAAATGAATATGCAACAATAAATAGCCAGATTAATTTTAAATCTTTATACAAGGTCTTAAAATTACTACACTCAATATGAGGGGAAAAGTCTATGAAAAAAATATTTCATAAATACAGCCTATTTTTTATTATTAATACAGTAATAATTATAAAATTAATTTGCACGTAAAGTAACAAAAAATCTGCTTTATATCATCACTGTTGATATTTCAGTTAAAAACATATATTTTGCCTAAATTATATTCCAAGATCATAACACGTGAAACCCTATAAAATCTAAAATCATGTAAAAATCCTTCACAACCTATCCTGTGCAACATAAATTTTGGAGAAAAAATAATAAGTTTCTAAAAAAATTATTTTTCAATACTCTAACACATAAAAATGCCTTTATCTTCTAGGCAATTCACATTATTCAATAATAAATTTTGTAACTAAACTGTCAAAAATATTTAAATTCCATTGAATTTCTTAAATAATGTATTAACACATCAGATATTGAAAAGAAATCAATATTAAAATCAGTACATATTACAGAGCTGAAACAACTCAAAATTGAAATTAAACCCAAAATAAACCAAAACACAGCTAAAAATTATTTCTTTACAAACATCAAAATACTCATTTCAAATTAGTTTTCACATGAACAGATGAGATATATCTAAGTAAGTAAAAAATAATGTGATAATAAAATACAAAAATATTTTTAATTATCTCAATAAAAAACTTACTTTGTGATAGTCCCATCAATATCAGATATGACAATTTTGTCATCATAATTCCATAAGAAAACATGACAATTGCACTTAGTAGTTCCCTGATATGCAGTTGTAACACTAAATTCAAACTCATTGGGACCATCTTTTAAATTTAAATTTGCCTGCCAAAAAAAAAAAGTTTACAAATTTAAAAGAGCATTTACAAAATTGGATGATAAACTTACATGGTACGACAATAAAATTTGGTGAAAGCATTCATAAACAAAAGATTATTTCCTAAATAAGAAAACCATTTTATATTAATTTGAAGCAATATCCCACCATTTGCAATGCACTTTTGACAATGATTGCACAATTCCTGAAAACTGCAAATGAAATCCTCTTTGAGTATTCCAAGAACTGAAATCAATTTTTTTAGAGCTTATTTCAGATACAGAAGTCTACTGAAACAAAATTAGGTAAGTGCAGAGGCGAATTAGGTGAGTGATGAGCACTAATAGCTGCTCCTCTACAAAACACAAACTGTTACATGTATAAGGCCAAAGGCAGCCAGGGATTATCATGGAGAAGGAGACAAGAGCCTACGTCTGTGTTTTCTGGATGTGCACAAGGGATTCATCCTTTGCACTAAATTTGGCAGAACATCCATAAATATATTAACAATCATTGCTGCTCTTCCTGGTAAACATAATCACTTTTTCAATTTTTTTGTCATTGCAAGAAACTGTAGGCCTAACACTTCAAACACCATCTTTAACAGAATCCCATGTATCCTGAAAACATTTAAACCATTCATTAATGCATTTAAAAATACAGTTTCACCTCTCTAAACATGTTTCAGCATGTCATAACTTTCTCAGATTTACCAAACTTGAAAAAGTAATTCATCCACTGCTATTTTGCAGCCACTGCTACAAGTTTGTATATTAAAGAGAATTTCAAACAAGATTCCATAATGCTTATTCCTGTGCCATGCTCAGGTATGTTCAACATGTTATGGAGTATCTTTTTCACACTTCATCGTTTGTCAACTACCACAGATGTGCTTATGTGCTTCCTCTGATGTCATTCACCGAACTTTATTGTTGTACCTTGCATATCAGTACTTATATTATGTAATAAAATATTACAGATGCTACTTATTTTTAGAAAAAAGTACCAGATCAATAACTGATGGTTAGTATAGTTTTAATAACCTTTGTTAATTAGATAATATTACAAACTACAAACCATTAACCTTTAAACTGTCATGCCCGGGCACAGCACTGGTATTCCAAAATGTCACGCCCGAATATTACTCGGGCTAAACTTTTTTTGAGTGCATCGTATTGTTATACCCGAATATATATCGTGAGAAGTTATTCGGCTTCAGTTCACAGATGGCGCATTTTACGAAGTTTCAAGGATAGAGGTTAAACTTCAAAATGCGCGGCACTTTTTTGATTTTTTGACTGCGAAGTAAAAATTTCATTTTTGAAATTAAAAAAAAAAATTGACAATTTATGCACCCAAACCATCAAAATAACTTGACAGTTAAAAGGTTACCCAAACAACTTAATTTTTTACGCATTCTTTCAATAGCAGAATAGCTTTTTATTTTCTAATAAAAGTATTCTTATTTAAACTTACAATTTGTTCTGATGTCAGCCTAAGAGACTTCATGTACTTTTCTTTCTGTGATTTATCACTTTCTACAGCTGATTCTTTGGCACTATGTGGAAGTTGAGCAAAAGTTTCAGGTGGGGAAAGACTTGATGTCTCACTTTTTGCCCTGAGAAATATAGAATAATTTTCCATATAAAAATTACTGCTTTTTTTAATGTTTTGTTGCTCAAAGGACAACTTTTTATCAGCAATAAAATGACAGTTAAAATAATACCCAATGTTTCTATAAAAAGAAATATATTTTTATAAACAAAGTAAGACATTTTGCATTATGACTGCAGAGAGAGAGCAGGAATTAATTCATATGCTGAAAATTTTATTCTATTGGATAATTTTGTACTTCAGTGGAATAATAACTATACAATATACATCCTGTTCAGAAATACAGAAATCTGGTAAATATGTTGTATTTAAATTTTAATCTGAACATAAAATAAAATAAGAATACCAGTATCCATCACAATATGCATAGCAAAAGAGATGAAAAACAAAAACATAATATATTATACGCAACATCAGTTGTTAAATGATGTATTTACATAATTTACATTAACACACTATATTATGTTAATTCACATAATTAACATAATTTGATACCCATTTAAAACTAAATACTTAAAAGGCCACTCGCTCTTCAGAGGCTTTTCTAAATATTTAATTAATAAAATTTAAGAATTAAGTCAAATGAGCATTCAAGGGATATCTACATAAACTCCATCATAACTTTGACAGACGGCACTGAGGCAATAGAATCTCACAGCTTTTATTCTTCTTCTGCTTGGGATTCTGAACACACATTATAATCTTGAATATCCATGCTTTACTCAAGATCTCAAACCCAATCCAATGAAGTAAGAATTAGATAGCTCTACTAAATTGCTGCATTGTTGGCATGACAAAAAAGAGGTAATGATTATAATTAGGACAGACTGTAAAAATAATTAGGACTATGTAGAGATAATAATTAGTTAAAAAAAATTAGGACCAAAAAATTACGAAGTTAACAGGAGATGAATCGCAAACTTTCGCCCAGTTTTTTAGTCTGTGATTTATACTAATGAATTCCTGACACCTTTCACACACAGAGAGAATTCACAGTAATTAAAAAAAGCTAGTTATACAACTAGCTTGTAACTAAATAAGTACTTTTAAACATTTTCTAATCAAGCTAATCCTGACAGTACAATTAATGCCATTATAATAAGACACAGTGACTGATACATATACACACTACATCCATAAACGTTTTCATGCTTTATTTTTGCCACTGTTGGTACTCCACTAACTGTACTTCTAGTTTTAAATGGCAAATTTTTATATTAATTTTTTTTAAATCAATTTTACAAAAGTTACAAAATTTTTTTACACCATCATTCAATTCCTATAGTTATATTTAGTAAATACTCCTTAAAAAATATTAAACAAAAAAAGTGACTTCCAAATAACAAAAAGTGACCAAAATATTTAATTTCAGAATTTGGCATTTCTGTCATTTTTTCAGCTTTCTTGAGACTAGTTAAAATAAACTATAATTTGAGGTTGCCACCTTTAACCCCTTCGCGCCGACTGTCACATCTACGTGCCAGCAACGAACACACTCACTTCCCGGCCGACACGCAGGCGTGCCAGAGCATATTCCCATTCACTACCGACTGTCACGTGTTTATGCCAGTGTCCTGGAATGCTTTAAAAACTATAATTTCTGCCACAAGATGGCACTGTATGTCCATATGGTTTCAGATACATGTACATTAGACCTTCTACTCGAAATGAGAGAAGCATGACTCACATACATGTGTTTCTGATTATATAAACAAAAGGGGAAAAGAAATGTTTCCGAATGAGGTGATTTATGATGTCTCTTTAAATCGCACTTTATTTGCACGTGGTAGTTGTTTATTTAAGTAGAGAAGTTTTATTTGCACTAAAGCGTTGGGTATTTCGGTTTGCAGTTCAGTTTTAGAAAATAATTAGATCTTGTTAGACGTGAATTCTTTCTGTTTTTACCATTGCAAAGTCGAAGCGTTGAAAATGTTTAACAGAGCATGAAATAGCAGAAATGATGCAAAATATTTCAGATATTGATAAAACTTTGTTCAGAAGAGACTGATAAGAAAATGAGACGACAATGCTTTGTTCACATTCCCGGAAAAATCCTCCAAAACGGCAAATGAGTTATTGCGGGTGCAAGGAATGTAACGTAGGACTGTGTGTAGATCCATGTTTTCAAATGTTTCATACAAAAAGAGAATTTTAAGTAATATATTTAGTTTTCAGATGTATTATGTTAAAAGTCATAAAATGGTGAGTAATGAAAATAAAATGTGTAAAATATGCATTTAAACAAGAAATAAGGTAATTAAAGTATATAGTATAAAAATATCTATAAAGCATAAGCCGTTTAAATACTCTATAGAGCATTATTAAACAATGTGTTGATACTTTGGAAATTTCATGGATTTAGGCTTAGTAGCAAAAGAGCCCCCGGCCCTGGATGCTTGCGTAAGACACTGCCGGCCTCCGCGATAAGCGCACGTTTGCGCTACCTGGCTCGAAGGGGTTAACCCTCTGAGCAGCACAGGTTTTTGGAACTGTCATGAAGACCTATATTTATGCAGCATTTATTAGCTAAATTTATATAATTACTTATTTTTGCCACTGTTTTCATAAACTTACATTCATTAAGATTACATTTACATTATTAAGGAAAGTAAGAAAGCAAAATATCATAAGTTATAAGCTAATATGTATCAAGTAACAAAAAATCTCATGACCAGATAAAGCCGGTCATGCCGCTCAGAAGGTTAATGTCCTTCAGTATTATTAATTTATAATTTACTAGTGTGTTACGTTCTTTCACTTCTTTAGGTTTCTTGCATATGATATGGCAAAAGCATTTTCACAGAAGTAATAAGATTTTAAATGCTAAAAATATGTTATTAATATTTACATGCACTTTTATTACTTCACGATATAATATAATAGATGGGCAAAAAAGTGTTATTGAACCAGATACGTTATTTACTTTTATGTAAATAATGTCACAAATTGGCTATGCACCAATGCTTAGCTTGCCACTGTCTAAGAACATGAATTCTGAGGGATTCTGTGAATAAGATCTCTTTTTACAAAACATTGAAACTTATCAGAATATTTCAAGACAGTCTGCGCAGCAATGCTCATCAATTAATCTATTAACTAATCTATTTTTCTAAAGTCATATATTATTTTTTGTTATTCATATATTTAAATATTTTGCTCTTCAGTTTGTGTACAACCCTTGAATACGATTCCAAACCTTAGAATGAAATATGTAAATTTCTGTACAGAATATTGCTTCGTGAGCAATTATTTCATTCTTTTTTAACTTTCTGAAGAATTGGCACTAATCACAATGCTTTTTAAAAAGCACTGAAAACACAGTTTTAAAACACTAATTAACCAGTTTTAAAACCACTGAAACATACTTGGGAAAAATATTGAAAATTGAAGCACCATATTTGAATATTTGATGATACATGCAAGCATACAACTAGAAGTCTAGCAGATATCATCACTAGGATTTTTCTTCACTCCACATGTTACATGACTTCTTTCCGTAAGCTTGAAACACTTCAGTGAAGACGTAGAAAAAACAGCATTCGGTGGATATGAGCATAGTAAATTACTTTTTATTTATTTATTTATTTCAGTCACTTAATCCGTTGAGGCTTTCAGGGTGAAAAATCCAATCCTGTTGACTTGTTTTAAATGTGATATTTTAATGCGCAGAAGAAATCATTACTTTTAACTTCTGACAGTCGTAAAGGCTTGAGGGTGGAGGCACGAAGACAAAGCTAACAGAACTGAATTCTAATATTCACAATGTATATTCTTTTTCACATCGAATCATTCTTTTGCAGACAAGATATTTTTTAATCATAATGCAATAACAATAATTTGTATGTACACGAGTTTTAGGTAAACAGCAAGTGGGAACAATTAAGCATAACAGTGCAGAGATGTTTTGCAGGGCAGGAGAAGTTAAAAAATAATGACGTTATTGCTCCCAAAGCAGTATTTATGCTAGGCAGGTAAGTACAGCTAAGCAGCAGATAAGTACAGCTAAGCTGCAACTGATTAATTTTAGGTTTTAATTCTGTTTTGCAAACAGTGTTATGCACAATCAATTGAACAGATCTCGAATTTGGGAGAAAAGCGGAACTTATAGGGAGAACATCAAATTTATAATAGTCAATTTTGAGGTTGCCAATTATTTCTTAGCTATATATATATATATATATATTATATATTATCTTATTATATTATATCTTACCTACTTATATGCACTGCAAATACATACATTTTTTATTTAGAGTTTACAGGGAAATATCAACCAGTTTCATAAAACATGCTATTTACATTTATAATCATTTACAATTTCAAGAAAAACTGCAGTTATGAAATTATATAATCAAAAATATTTTTATAAATTAATTTCCCATAATTAAATACAAGGAATAAATACAATGCATAATATTTGATTAAATAAAAATCTGCACATTTTAAGACAAAACAGCAAGTACCTTGTAGAGCTAGTGATATTAATAGGAGAGCTATAAGAAGTAGAGCTTTCACTGCTTGGTGGACTAACTGTAATAATTTCTTCTATTGTTTTACTATCATCTACAACAATTTCTTCCAAAGCTTCTCTGTCCACTGAGATACTGACTTCATGAGTTTCCGTAATAATTTCTGTAACAACTGGTACAGTTTCTTTTAAGGTTTTCTCATTAGACACAGTGCACTCACTAATTTCAATATCACAAGTTCTTTGTTCAACAGATTCTTCACATACAACTTCACTCCTTCCAGCTACAGAAGTTGTAGTAATCTCAGTCAGTGTGGTCTGTAAATAAAATATGAAGTTTATTGACAAGCATTTTATAGAATAAACGATGAAAAATCAAGTTAAATAAATATTAGGCTTAGCATCGCTTTTAAAATCAAAATATGCAACTATTCATGATAACATAAGCAATCACATACAAGAACTGGTTACTTAAAATGTACTAGCAAACACACTAGCACTTACATCTCTCACACACTAGCTATTGATTTGGGATAAATATTCAATTCAAAATAAGAATATATAATTCTTCTAAACACAACACACACATAAAAAAATAAGAATATTTAAAGTTTGAGTGTTTTAACATTAAACCTTTAATCATAAATGCATGCATTTTGAAAGACACCTTTTAACAAAAAGATTTCTAACAATAAGGATTAAATCAGCCAAAGCTTGTCAAACGTAATTCTCCTACCTTTCAGTCTTTATCATAATTCCAGCTGGATAAGATAAGTTTTGTTTTTTTATTTAATTATTTGACATTAATCTTTTAGTTCATAATTTGTTTATTTCTTTATACTTTATTTAATACAGTACAAAGCCCAAAATCTGGGTATTGAATATCTGGATCTGTTTTACCATCTGCAAGAAAAGTTTTTCCCTTTCCAAAATGCAGGAATGAAGAATGGAGGAATAGGAATGGAGAATATGATACTAGGTAAAAGTAGGTATGCCATAAAAGAAATTTTTCTCCCAAGAGATTTTGATGCATCACTTTTAAACACCTGGTGGCTAGGGAATCACACTCTGGACAATGATGATACATTGACTTACATTGTACTGATGTTAGCTATGAATGCACATCTATCTGATTCAACATATATGAAGCATCAAGAATTGGAGTTATTCATGATCCTTAACTGTTGATTTGAAGCAGCTTATTATTTTCTTTCATCTATTATTACTCTTATCGAAATTACAGATTCAGTAAATGTCTCCATTTTATTCTTTCCCTTAAGCTATTCATCCATCAATCACAGTAAATGGATTTTGGAATTTTGCACACATATTTAATTTTGTTTAACTATCCTAATGACCTTCAGAAATCAAACTCTGTTTAATACAATACTAACTAAGATACTAATCAGCAGCAAAATATTCAAAATATCAAACACTGTTTAATACGATACTGACTAATACTAATCAGCAGCAAAATATCTACAATTAAAAGTAAAATTCTAGATTTTAAGTTTCCAAAGAAGGGAAAAAAAACTTCACCAAAGAAATAAATAAGAATGTAATCCCTGTTACGAAGAAACACATCTTATTCTGGAGAAATAAGATGAAAGCACTTTGCTGGAAAACCTATAAATTTGAACTCTAACCAAAATGCTCGTAAAATAATTTAGATAAGAATTCGCCTTGACTTGTTTGAAAGGTTCCCATACTACTGGAGCTCACTTTTAAAGCAAAAGCTAAATCTTCGACAATTAAAAAGCACAAACAATTAATTTATTTGATAAATTAATAAAACATAAATATTAAAAATGTCTCTCACATAATGCCATACTCAATACATATGTTCTTTCTTACCTCAATCAATTTGAATCAATAACAAATTTAATAATGTGTAGGTACTTAATATATTTCCATTTTTCTTCAACACTGTAAAAAAAATGTTTTTATTTGTATTTTTAATTTTAATGCATAAATGATACAACTCCTTTAATCATAATTTTTCTTGCCATAGTTTAAGTAATTACATCAGTTATGCATTAATAAACATTATCAAATTGTTCTACTGTTCCAATAATTTTACATATCTTCCCCCTTCCAATTTATCCGTTATAAGTTTCATACAAAAAATTAAGTTTCAATTCCCCTTTCCATAAATGAATATTTCCAAGCCCTTCAAACTTAATACTCATTTATTTGATGATTACAAATGTTATTGTTAAAGTGTACAATAGAATACCTAGTTATTTAATGAAATAACTGATTAAATCAATTAAAATAAGTAATAAATTAATAACTCCACACTTTAATCGATTATTTCAGAGAATAATTAGTTCTTCTATAAATTAACCGATGACAGACAGTTAAAATATAAAAATAAATAATTTAACTGAATTATACAGCATATAAAATGTTATTTATACAAAGACATACTAAAATCATTTTATACAAGAGCCATTATTAAAAGGGCACTTGGAATTACATAAAACATTATTTCTAAAACAAATACATTTTTTGCTGACACTGCATTTTAGATACACATTTTTTAAACCCTTAACTGCTACCTCAATTTCAAGCAATAGCAATCAACTGGAGCAATTCAGTTTTTTTTCCACAGAAACTGAACCTGGATTGAGAATATAGCTGTTTTCTGTAGCCATTTCTTGTTCCCAAACGAAAAATCCTACTTCCGTTATTTTCATAAGCACTAAAATATATCTGGCATGATTTCTTATGTCAATTTCAGGTATTAGGATATGAACTATAAATCCCACAGAGGCTTCAGAGTTAGGTTTATCTGATATTAATTTCATTTTCTTAGTTTAAATTTTTAAACATTCTTCAGAGATTTCTCATTCTCTATGAATATTCAAGTTACTAAAACAAAATTCACAAATCACGTACACACTACAGTATCCTCTATAAATTATGTTCAACAAATTATTATTAATTGCTAAAATATTACATGTAAATGAAAATAATACCTTCAATATTCTTGAATAAAACATTAAAGTTAATAACATAAAATTATTATATAAAACACTTCCCAGTAGGTTCAAAATGGTTCTCACTTTATAGCCTTTTGAATTTGGTTAGTTATATTAACATGGCAAAGCCATGAGGGCTATATGCCTAAGAGGAAGGATGCCTTCATGGAAGATTTTTTAAGGAAAACTGTCTCATATTCATATCACACATGGCAAAAAAACCATGAAATCCAAACATGCAGACAGCTTATTCACCTGAGGTCAAGCTATCAGTATGTGGTATTCTTAATAACTCAGCCACCAGTGGGCTTTTTTTAATTTGGCATTTTAATTAAAATCATCCTATATCGAAATATAGTAGCAAATACTAACAAGCAGAATGAAACATGTTGGTTATTCATACATTTTTAACACAGTATACATGGTTATTTTATGAAAAGTTAAAGTGTGGAATTAGAATTTATTATACACTTTAACCAATTTGATAAGTTATTTCATGAAATAACTTCATAAATAACTAAGTATTCTACAAAATAGCAAGACTCCATGCTTTACCCAGTATTCAAATTTAGTTTTCCTGCTTCTCTTTAAAATTACAGCAACATATGATTGCTTGCATGTGACTGCTTGAAAGTGTTATTTAATAATGACATAAATGAAAATTGCATTTTAATTGAAAGAAAACACTTTTGCTATTTTGTTAGGGAAATCATGAAACAAACTTACTCAAACTGTGGCACTTTTCTTACTTTTTTGAAGCTGCATAAATAATGAATTCGTGTCTCTGATTTTAATTCATAATTCACACTTTAGAGTAACTAGTATTTTATAATATCTCAATAAATTAAGTTTGCATATAACAACGGTTTTTCTGAAATCACTATAGCACAAAGTAAAACAATCCTTAAGAAAAATTCCACATACATATGAATTAAAAATGTATATGAAAATTCTAAATAAAAAAGTTTCAGTTCAATGCCATGACCAATTAAGAGTTCAAAAGCGTACAAAAAGCAGTTTTTGCACCAGCCCCCCCCCCAAAAAAAACCTTCCTCAGGAAATTCAACAAATTTACTTTTTGGCCATAAAATTTTCTTAGCAATAATATTATAGAATTAGACTTCCATAAATTCTAAAATTACTACAAAATAAATCAAAATTATTAAAACTAACCAAAATATTAACAAAAATGATTTTAACTTATACCTGCATGTTAATGTTGACTTTTTAGGAGGTTATTACATACGTATGTATACAGTTTTCCACTTAAATCAAATGAAAAAAAAAAAAAAACTTACATCTTCTTCAGTTTTGCTTTCAGTTTCTGATCTCCTCCAAGACCACCAGGAAGAATATGACTTAGATTTCTTTTTCTTTGGCATATGCTCTTGAATAAGCTGGTTAGCGGTTTTCTAAAACAATATGTCTGATTTGAATAACAGAAACATTTTATATTTTTTTAGTATTTTCAAGACCATTCAAACTCCCCCCCTCGATTTCTACACAGGGTAGAACTGCCGTGTTTTTGGAGCATTTTAGAGCATATATAGAAGAACAACCAATTTAACAGGCACAAACCACACATATGTCTGAGTGCCCATGGATTTATATGCTTTAACTATCAATTCATAGTGTTGTGAAATCATAACAAAATGAGAATCAAAAAATTAAATGCATGGTATGGAAGTTTTTAATAAAACTTAAATGATTATACACACCTATGGTAGGCTACAGGTATAAATCCAATTACGGAATTTAAAAAAATGCATGAACTCAATATTTCTTATATTCCTTCGAATATTTCTTATATTCTATTACACTGCACACTGCAGTTTGAATTATAAAACAACATCAATTTCTACATAATTACATGTCCAGAAAGGGAAGCGTTAAGTAATTGAATAGGTGGACTTGTAACACCATCTTTTAGAAAAATCAACAAATATTTCTCGACAGCAGTACAGAATCCACCAAACTGTGAAAATATCAAATATTGCCCACAGAGATTTTGGTTTTAACTCATGCGACTTTTTGTTTATAACAAAATGCTTTGCTTTATTATTTACTGGAAGAATAAGAGTACCTGTGAGTCATAAAGACCACCAAACAAAAGGTTTTGACAATAACTGTCACTGATTTTTTATTGAGTTTCTAAATTCGGGGATGGTGTAAATAGTCAGAAAGTAACTTTTTCCCCCTTGCATGACAACAATAATAATAAAAAAATTAATAAAATCAGTATTAATCTATTTTACATTTCTCTCTTAATCTATAATAATAAAAGCAAGTGTAAGTCTGTCTGTCTGTCTGTCTGACCGAGCTCTCCAGCCAAATCTATGGCACGCAGGGACCTGGAATTTTTTATACGGAAGCACAAAGGGGTTGGCCACCAGACCTCGAAGCCCCCGATTTTCAATTTTTGAATTAGAAAAATTTTAAAAAAATTATTTAATTAATTAATCACGGTTTTTTTTGACTCGCTGATATTATTTGTTTTCAAATAAACGTTCGATTGTAACAATTGATTTCTTTATTCTAGCGTTAGTTTGCTGTTTTGACGATACATTAAATCGATTAATTACAATTCATTTTTTTTTGTAGCTTTATTTGCTGTTTCATGACACATTAATTTCTTTTTTTTTTTTTTTTTTTTCAGAATTGCACTTTATAAACTTTTTGTTTCTTAATTATATTATCATGGTTTTGACTCACTGATCGTGTTGTATTATTATTTTCAAATAAGTTCGATTATAAATTGATTTTTTGTAGCGTTTTTTTGTTTTGAATCATTCTCTGTTGGTTGCTTAACTTTGCTTTCAGATTTAGAAGAAATATGCCGCAGCCACCTCGAAAAAGAATGTTGGAAACTACAAATCGACAAGAGAGCGATACCCTTGCAGTTCTGAAGAGAGCAGATGGGCAGACGGATATCACTGTATCGTCGTAGAGCCTGCGTGGCGGTTTAGCCGCATCAATCTAAGGTCCGCGTTTCGGTGGACAAGCCTGGTTGTTCCTTACGTCCATCTACATGTCCAAAATTTCTTCAAGTCACATGTCAACGTTGAGTACTGCAATTCTGTCAAGTCCCAATATGACCACACCCATAAAAAATCCGACGGGTCCACCTTGAATCCAAGACAAAACAGGAGAGGTTTTCTTCACTGAAATCCGTTTGAGAATACTCATGCCATCTCCGAACGCTATACCACAGTCGTCATCTTTTCGTGGCACCGCACATGCCAAGCAATCGTCAATTTACAAACCAAATTCCCAACGTCTACACATGGCAGCGGTCACATCTGGCCCGCCGTGCAAGACTTTTTGCTCGCAATTTCACTTTTGCACCGTCTTCCAACACCTAACCCATCTAAACCGCAGGAACAGAGACCTAACCGCCCAAACAACGAGGCAAATGTTCCAGGAGGGACCGAAAGGAAACCAACACTTCAAAACAGTCCTGCAACACTCCGGCCTTCCTGAGAGATACAACAGGCCAGGCCCAGAAAGAAGATGTGCGAAGTCAACCGTCTGCAACACTTAGAGGCCTGCTCCAAAAATGCTTAACCGGTGACATGGAGCCCGGCGTGCAAGACGCTTGCACGTCTTAAGAGATGCGTAATCCTGCTTATATTCAAGCGCTCTCTCCATTCGGGCTCATAGAATAGAGAATATGGGACCTAAAGGGATCTGCATCATCAACCCCATCCCCAGCACCAGAAGAACAACAAAAACAAATAACTTTACAGAGGATTGGAGATCGAAATATTCTACAAGCCGGAAAACCCCGGACTTCCAGCCACCCAGTTTGCCCAGTGACTCAACCTTTGTAACGGCGAACCAAATTCTCCAGATATAGAGAATGAGCAGGAAATTGGCCAAAAAGAGCCTTTGACAAGATTACTAGAGCAGTTTTGATAGCAAAGGGGTATATCTTTTGGATGCTCCAGGCGGAACCGGGAAGATGTTTCTTATCAACTTTATTTTGGCAAAGGTGCGGCACAGAAATGAGATTGCCCTGGCTGTCGTTCATCCGGCATTGCTGCTACACTCTTGACAGGTGGTAGGACTGCTCACTCGGCGTTCAAGTTACCCTTAAATCTGACAAGACAGAGACTCCAACGTGTAACATCCCAAGGAATTCAGGGGGGCAAAGGTTCTACAGGATTGCAAGATCATCGTTGGGACGAGTGTACCATGTCCCAAAAGCCGCATTCGAAGCATAGATGTCACCATGAAAGACCTCAGACGGAACAATGACAGAATGGGGAGGCGTCGTCGTAATGGTTTTGGCAGGCGATTTTCGACAGACGCTACCAGTTATTCCGCGTGGAACGAGGTCAGATGAAATGCAGGCCTGCTAAAATCTTCTTATATCTGGAATGGCATTCAAACACTTTGATTATCGACTAACATGCGAGTTCATCTCAACGTGATCCCTCTGCCCAGCAGTTGCAGATAATCTACTGAAACTAGGAAATGGAGCCCTTACTTCAGAAAATGAAGATGAGATATGTAGCGATGCAAGGCATTGGAAATTGACTACTGAAAGAAGAACGAAAGAGGCTGTGTTTCCGAATGTGATTCACCACTTCACTGATCACGCATGGCTGTGCGAAAGAGAATTCTTGCCCCAACAAACGAAGCCGTCAGTGTTATCAACAAGGAACTTTTACAGAACTTACCCGGAACTCTTCATATTTACAAATCAAACGACATGCAATATTGACGAGGCTGTCAACTACGACAGAGTTTCTCAACAATTAGAGCCACCTGGGTACCCTCCCACATATTGGACTGTACGTGAAGGTTGGAGCACCGATAATTCTCCTCAGGAATCTGGATCCGCCTGCACTTTTGCAATGGAACAAGACTTTCTATCAAGAAACTGATGCCAAATATTATAGAAGCCACCAACATGACCGACATGCTGCAGGCGAAGATGTGTTTATTTCAAGAATTCCTATAATCCCTTCCGATCTCCAGTTCAGTTTAAGCGTCTACAATTCCCTGTTCGTTGGAGTTTCGCGATGGCATTAATAAGGCACAAGGACAATCTCTCAAATTGTAGGGCGACCTCCGTAAGCCGTGTTTCTCCCATGGTCAACTGTACGTGGGTTGTCAAGAGTTGGTAATGCCGATAATCTACACATCTTAGCTCGAATGGAAGACATTAAAATAGTTTATCCCGAGGCTCTCTAACGAAAAGGACAAAACGAAAAATTATGCCACTCTCCACTCTCCAAAACTAACTCTGACTATCATGCTTTAAATAGTGATGTTATTGTTTAGTGCTCTCTTGAGAGCATGAGCAATAATCCGAATGGTGCTGCCGTACCAACAGACATAATCGGTCAGGGGCCCTTGCGACCCAGCCCGAGCTCCACAAACATACACAAACACTTCCTCTGCTAATTCATTGTCATCTAATTTAACTTACACTTAAATTAAAAATTTAATTGGTTCTTAACTCCAAATTTCCTGTAAAGCAGGATGTTTTATTTCATCCATGTTTTCCTTACTTTTTATTTTTTGTACTGTACTCTCTATCTTTCCCTTTCAACTTTTCCTATCTTGATTTTGATTTTTTATGTTTACTTTTCTTTAAACTTCAGACCAATGATATAACCACATGACTACGGTTCCTAGCATGTGCTAATATGAGGTCTGTTCTCATTTAAACTAATTTTTTAACAGATGGCTCATGGTTAGGATATATTGTTCCTTTTTATCGACGGGGAATGTTGTGTGGGGGGGGGGAAGAGAGAGAGACAGTCTACATGTCCTGCGCTATTCACTTATCTGCATTTTCTAAATGCACGGGCAACGCCGGGCGGGTACAGCTAGTGTAAATATAAATGGATCATATGGAATAAGAAATTTCGAGCCAGCATCTTAAATGTGTGTATGCAAAAAAATTCAATGCAAGAGCAAATTGTTATGGATCATTTTTAGCAAACATACTGATATTAAAACATATTTAAAGCTCTCACATTACATATTATAAATGATTAAAATAAAAAAAATTTACTTAATAGGGAGACAGCTTAAAAAAGAAGAACCTTAATATTTCTAAAATTAAAAGAAAAAAAGAAAAATCTAACAAAAGTTAGATATTTAAATTAAATTCAATAAATAATTGATGTCATTTAACAGTTTAATGAACATTTGATTAAAAACCAATTTACTTTTCAAAATTTACAATAATAATTACATGATTTATAGCAAACACAATACTTTCTTCCTTGAAGGACATTGTAACAGATTTATCACAACACCGATACAAATTTTAGATTTTTATAGTTACATTTGTCCTAAAAACGAAATAGATATTGTGGAGATATTATGTTATTTTGAAGCAGATGACGTGAAAAATAAATAATGTCGTCACCGGGACTCGAACTTGGACCTCTCAAATACGTGCTGAGCTTGCGAATATTAGCCGAAATATTACACCACAAAGGCATACTGAAAGGAGGAAGAAAATATACACTCCATCTTTTAAAGGGCAACTGGGGATTAGGGGACCCAATCGCCAAATCCTGGTGGTGAAGAATCATCATCCACCACCACCTTTTTTTAGTTCTGGCATCACTGTAAAGACATCAAGTTATTTTGAAGCAAGAGATGTGAAAAATGAGCAATGCTTTCGCCGGGACTCGAACCTCGGCCTCTCGAATATGTGCCAAGTATGCTAACCGTTACATTACGAATGCATACTGAAAGCATGGAGAAAATACCTTATAACAGTGGTTCTCAACCTTCTGATTAATGCGCATCATCTAAACAAAAATTGGAAACCTTAAATACCATCACTACATTTTACAATGATTATGTTTCAACTTCTGAATAGAAATACTTTTAAAAATATATCTGAAATCTTTTGTTCTTTATATTATGTCCAAAAGGGCATTTTTTAACATTTTGTATATTACCTTTATTTATTAAATAGCATATCTTCACTGCACAGTCTCGCACGATGAAGATAAAAATGCCACCCCATTACTTTAGAATTATTACAGCTTTTAAGCGTCTAAAATTGTCAGAGTTTTAGATTTAAAATAACTGTCTGAATAGCTAGAGATATATAATCTCACAGGTACACTGCATATACTCTATGACAATACAACAACATATCACTAATATTAAACAAAACTGCAGTCTTAATTAAAATACTTCTGATTTACACACACAAAGATACAGAATAACTCATCAATAGCAGACTTACTTCAGGTAATGGCCTTTGAAACATTATAATTGAAGTCAACATTGATGCAGCTGTGGGCCAATTATAATACCTAAAATATTTTCAGAATATTTATTTCATGAAGTTCATTTCATTGGCATAGCTTATTTTATATCAAAGAGCTATAAAAATGACTTTCATGTCATAAATTTTTGAGCATGAAATCTTTAAACATTGTTTTGAGCTGATTTTGAAAATTTTACATATAATTCACACAAATGCATATCATGTATATTTCTTATGCATGCAAATACTTAAAATATTAATTATTATTCTGCTAATGTCAAAAAGAATTATGCTGAGGTTGAAACAAAACTTACTTTCCACCAATGCGAATTACTAAATTTGGATCTTGTAGAATTGCAGGATTTTCTGTAAATTCATCAAATGTAACTAAAGAATGCAAAAATCTTTCTTCAGGCAAGTCAGTGTCAGGATCTTGAAGGCCACCACAAAGTGACATAGCTATATCGCTATAAGGATAAGAAATGCTTTCACATTTCTCTTTGCTAAGAATGGAAGAAAGGAACATAAGTGGGGAATGAAGGCAACACAAAAGATAAACAGCAAATTTAGCGAACTTAAAATCTTACTAAAACAGAACAGGAGAATGCAAAACAAAACATTAAAAACCCAATGAGAACATAAACAAAACAGATAAAGAAAATAAAAATTTTGGAAATTTATAGCTAAAAAAGCTTCCCAAAACATTTCAATATAACTACAGGAAAGAAAGTAAGAGAGCACTATATTATAAACAACACAAAATTAGCCTCTGAATTTACACTTTGTTACACCAATTAAATATAACAAAGCATAAATTCACCATAAAAATACACATTACAAATACCAATACTAAGAATTGTTACATTAGAATTTTGGAAAATAAACTAAAAAAGTGATTATGTTATCTGAATGTTAAAGTGAAAATGTTATTTGAATAGAAGAATAAAGATCAAGGATGAAATAATCAGCATTTGGGATGATGTGCAATGTACCTAAATTGATCTAAAGAAAGTCTTTCATCACTGTCTGAATCTTGACTAGCAGGACTAGCATAGCCTTCAATGGTCTGTGGAGAATGGGATAAAGAAGGTCCTTTACCAGATTCTGTATCTTCATCTTTAATTTGTATATTTTCTTGGCTATAAGAAGACCTGTAATTGTGAATACAGAGATGAACACAGATATCTAGAAGCCCATAACCATAGTTGATGATATTTTTAACAGTTAAGTTTCCAATATAACCTAGCTATTCCATTAAATACAATTTCACAAATATATTGCTGAAAATATTATTGAATGTCAGGCCACATGGAAAAAGATCTGTAGATTCTAGCAAACTATTTAGAAAAGCAGCAAAATGCTTCACATTTATGAAAATGGTACCAGAATCTTAGAAATTTTGCATACAGCATAAAAAGGAAAAAGTAAGAAATTACATTCAAATTCATATATTTTTAAAGAATTTGTATTGAAATAAAAAGAAATTAGTAGATTAAAAATATGCTAGCCTAAATGGAGAACTTAAAAAAAAAAACTATTTAAAAATAACGACATTTTATTAAAACTATAAATTTACCTATATTTATTAAAATATAATTAACTATAAATTACAAAACAGATGACATATTTTTCCAATGCAGAAGTATTGATACAGGAGCCCAGTACAAGGAAATGCCACAGAACTAATGAATATTCTTTTAAAATTCTTCTGTAATCACTTTCTTGCATCTTCAGATTTTTTTAAAAACAAAAAATTATAAAAAGTATGGGTCTCATAAAGGTGCAATACTATAGCCATTTTATTTTCTTACATAATATTTTTAAAGTTACACATAGTGAATGGCATATTATTACTATAAAGAAAACAGCATTTACTCTGACATTAATCTACTTATTCTTCCCCAAAATTCATTAACAGTGAATGGCTACAATGCATGATGGAACAAATTTATAACCCCCATAAAAAAGTATAGTTGGGAGAAGGGAATACTTTTTTTTCACATTCAATTCAGTTTATCCATCTATAAATATGATAATTTGAGAAGTTTTATTTCAAATAATTCATAAATCAAAATTATGATGCTTGCTATGAGATTCAAGAAAAAGGCCTAGTCCTCATAACTATTGCAGTTATCAACAAAAGAAGAATTGGTATTTCATATGAATTTCTGGATATTTTCATATGTAATGTTTGGTTTGCAGTTTAAAGCAGACAATGAAAAATGCATTATGCATTTCTGAATTGCAATAGTTTATTCATCAAAAATTATTTTATATGCTTGTCATCTTTTCTTTAACCTAATTACTTTAATATCATTTTTGCTTTGAAAAGTTCCTTCTACCAAATTAGTTTGTAACTTCTCATAAATTTCTAAAAATGAACAATGATATTAACACATTTAATTTTTCATTTAAAAATATAAATTTAATATATATATAAATTCATGAAATTCTGGAAATAATATTTAAATCCAAGAAATTCTAGAAATAGATAATAAATATTATTCAGTTGAAAAATATGATGTTCAGAAAAATCTGCAATTCAGATTATGCTTGTACCCACTAAATAAAATTACTTAAAATTATTTTTAACAATACATATACATGGAAGGGGAAAAAAACATTAAATGATGATATATGCTACCATCATTTTTAGCATACTGCTAAAATACAGTTAAGCAAGCAAAAGCTTCACTTTTTATGTATTTTTAAAACTGTAATTATATATTATTAACTGTAATACTCAACGACCCATGATAATTCTTAAATGCTTTTTTTATACTTCTCAGTTACAATAATTAATGAAATAGATTTCATTTGAAAAATGGATACATTATTATTTAAATTAATTTGATAAAACTTTCAGAAATAATGTAATATTACAACAGCATTAAAAACAGGGTTGAGAAGTTGAAACCATGCCTATATTAAGCACATGCATATATGAGTATTCACTGGCAATGTAAATTTAAATATTTTAAGCAAACAATCTGAAATTTCAATAATAATATCAAAGAAAGAGTTTATGAAAATTAGTTAAAAAGAGAAATACCAATAAAAAAGTTTTCATTTTTTATGGATATACATAGGAAAAGGTTGTAATAAACCAGAAATATTATTTAGAACTAAAATTAATGAAAAGAATTCAGAAAATCAAAGAGTTGAAAAACTTAAACTATGCTCAAGATATACCTGCAGGTAAAAATACATTCTCCAGTTTTGAACAGTATGAAAATAATTCACAAGCATGTAATTACTTGCTTTACTGTTTCCATCCATTGCTTAATATGTGATAAGCCTACATAAAGAATAAATGTTTAAACTTAAACTATGCTCAAGATATACCTGCAGGTAAAAATAAATTCTCCAGTTTTGAACAGTATGAAAATAATTCACAAGCATGTAATTACTTGCTTTACTGTTTCCATCCATTGCTTAAATATGTGATAAGCCTACATAAAGAATAAATGTTTTAAGAAATTAATAATAATGTGAAATTGAAGGTATGTATAAAAAATGTTCAGGAATAAATTATGTGTTGAACTCGGCATATTTGTTTCAGTTCTGAATGTTGACTGGATAAGAGCTCTACAGCACTGCAGACCATTGCAAACGAAATGAAGCAAGGGACTTAGTACAGATTCTTTGAAGGGGATGTAGCCAAATTAAAGTTAGGAATTAAAAGGTCTATTGCCAAGTTAAGTAACTTTCCTTCGTATTTTATATCTTGTATATATCCAGTTGACTCAATTTACTGAAATTGTTTAGCTATAGATAATTTCATGTTAGAAAATAGCTTGAAATTGTTGCGTAGACAGAATGACAATTGTGCCATGTTCAAAATATAATTTAGTCCTGGACATTCTTGATATATACCTTCAATCACACATCATCAATTTCTTAAGACATCTATTCTTGACTTTCATTGACTTCATCTTTGTTAGCAAAGCTACAGTTCTTGCACTTTGTCTACTGTGATGGCTCTATATTTTTATAGCAAACCAAGTAATCCACAGTAACATTATCAGGTTCAATGTTCCATCTTACTTTCTTTGGGAACATGCAAGGAACTGACTCGGAACAGAGAGCTTACTAAAGCTATGTTCAATAACTGTGGGAAGTAGACAGGATACACAAGAAGGGTATACAAACCCTTTATTTTTCTCTCTTTACAATAATTTCCGTACTTGGAATACAAAGACCCACTACTTGTGGTCTAAACGTAAGAATATAAAATATTTAACTAAACTATAACTTAAACTTTGAAATAATAAACGTGGAAGATTGGCCTTATATTAACAGGAAGCCGTATGTAGTACAGAGAACTGTTAACACTACAATACGTTTAAAATTATCAAGAGGATTAAACCTCTGGCCTGGAAGGCAACCAGCAACTGAGTAAACTTCTAAGGTAAGCGGTCTGCTTCGACTAATTCCTTCCTCTCTCTCGCTTGGCAAAAAGCCACAACTTAAGTACTTGGCGTTCGCCAGACAAATTTTGCATAAATAAGTTAACGCTTTTAATTCTGGCCGGAAGTAGAAAATAAGAAGTGATAGTAAAGATTTAAAATAAAATAAACGTTAGTAAAACTTAAGATCCTTACAACATTACAGTAACACTGTACATTACAACACTGCACAGTAATATTATGATAAGTAAAAATGTACAGTAACATGACCTCACAGCAATATACATTGCATACATTCACAGTTAACATTATAGTGAAAGCAATTCACACTAAATTAACATTTGACAGTATTTATTTTAACCACTGCTTATGTTATGCCACTGTCCTTACATTTTTCTTACAGTGCCAAGATTTTCTACGAGGCGTATTCAGAAACTAAGTACCGTTTTGGAAAAAAAAATAGTCAAAAAATTTTTTCGAATCCAATTTTATTTTTACATGAAAATACATGTCTTAAACTATTTTTCAACATAGTTTCCGCCAACAATCAAATACTTGTCATAGCGGGTGACCAGTTTTTGTATACCATCATCAAAGAAACTTCCCGCCAGTTTTGATAACCACGATTCCACAGCATTTTTCGTGTCATCGTCAGATCCAAAGCACTTGCCACCAAGCTCGTGCTTCATGTGCAGGAACAAGTGATAGTCGGACGGCGCCAAGTCCGGGCTGTACAGCAGGTGATCGAACTGCCCCCAATGAAACTGTCGAATTAACGACTGAGTGACACCAGCAGTATGGGGCCAGGCATTGTCATGGAGCAACACAATTCCTTTACTGAGCATTCCTCTTCGTTTGTTTTGAATGGCACGCCTTAGTTTTGTTAAAGTCTCACAATATCGTGCCGCATTAATGGTTTCACCTCTGGGAAGAAATTCAGTAAGCAAAACGCATTTCCTATCCCAGAAGACAGTGCACGTGATTTTTTGTGATGACATTGTCACTTTGAACTTTTGTTTTTGAATGAATGAGTGTGTCTCCACTCTATCGATTGTTGTTTCAATTCTGGTGTAAAATGACACACCCAAGTTTCATCACCTGTCACAATTTGGTTTAAAAAGTTTTCTCCCTCATCACTGTACCCGGGTGAGAAAGTCAGGGCAAGTCGCTTTTGTTTTGTGAACATCAGTGAGCCCTTTTGGAACCCATCGGGAACACAGTTTGCGATAATTCAAGCGGTCAGACACAATTTCGAACAAAACAGTACGTGAAATTTGTGGGAAATGCCTCTGAAAGAGTTGTCATTGTGAAGCGTCTGTTCTCATGAATTGCTTCATCAACTTTCTTTACCAAATCATCGGTGACAACAGAAGGCCGACCACTCCGAGCCTCAGCGTGGACATTTGTTTGACCTGCATTATTCTTACCCACTTTCTCACCATTCCATCACTTCTCGCGTATTCACCGTAAACTTCTGTCATTTGACGATAAATTTCGGCCGGTTTAACATTCCTTGCGTTCAAAAATTTAATCACAGCACAAATCTCACAGTCAGCGGGAGAACTAATTGTCTTCAACATTTTGAATGTGCACAGCAAACTGAAAACACAACATAGAGCAACCAAAATGGCGGCAATTGAAAGTCAGTGAACAAGAAAGACTAATGCGCATGCGCGGGACGCCTACCACAGCGCTGCGATGGCGCTAGAATGAAACAGTACTTAGTTTCAGAATACGCTATGTACTAAGAAAATTCAGTATTCTCACAACAGGTGACCAATCATCCATCTGGTGACTTACCACTTCTGAACCATGAACAAACTGATAATATTACCCTATTAAACCACAGGAAAAACAGCAGTATCTAAGTAGTAAATAAATAAATGCAAAGAAATTACATGTACATATTCTTATTACATTACTAGAAGATGTATTATATTATCATATTAAATTATACAATATCACAAGAAAAATGCACTAGTGTGGTGCTGAAGAGGACTTGCCATATCTTTTTCAATGGTCATAAGTGCAGGATTTATGTAGAAGCTACACAAGCTGTAGCTTAGGGCCACCACTTTCTTGGCGGCTTCCCAAAAATTAAAATGCAGTATAAATATTAAAATAACAGACTTATAAAGGGCCTCATATCTCAAATAGCTTAGGGCCTAAGTCTAAATCCAGCTCTGGTGGTCATCACTATACTTTCAACATATTAAATCAAGTAATCCTATTAGGTATTTATCAGTTGAAACAGGCCTATTTCACATTCGACCATAGTCACCATTTTACTACTATAATCAGATATTAAACAGCAATAGTAGCCATCCTCATTTTTCATTCATAAAATCACTGTTTAGTTGCTCAACATGACCAGAAATTCAATCCCATTGCTGAGAGATTGCCATCATAATTCAGCAAAATAAAGGGGACAGCATTGTAGGTGTTTCTTTCATATTTCATACAATTGTTTGTTTAAACCCTACAAACATTCTACCACCTTGGTTTCAGCATCATAACAGGATCGACAAAATTCATCTGATAAGTTACCTAGAAGTGGGTTACTACGAGAAAAAGAGGATGTATGCTTGAAAGAGAGAGAGAGAGACAAAGACTGTTTTAATTTATATAATGAAATGACCTTAATATCCAGATTAAACTGCTTAAGAATACAAGTAAATTATTAATAATATTTTGTGTTATGGGTTATTTGTCTTTCTTGTGCTTTTTTAAGTTTCCCTGGATTAACTGTGACTTTATTTTACCCATACCCTGGCTTTACCAGTCGATGATTTGACTTGAAATAATTCAGAAATTCCAAAACATACATATCACGAGAAACATATATATATTTAATCTACGAACTAACTTACTTAAATTTTGGAAAATAAAGAGCTGCCAATTCAGGATCTAATTCATCAGCATTTAATTCTGATAGGTAGATGCCCTCTTTCTCTGGCATGTGCCTCATCTTCTTAGTTGAGCGCATAAAGCTCAGCATCCCACCAAGCATGGAACGTTTCTCAGCCTCTATTATATAAACAATGTATACAGTCATTTTTATTTATTTATTTATTTAAAACTATGAATTTCTGTTTATATTTAGTAGGATTTTCAATGTTCCAAACACAAGCAGAAAATTGAGAGATATAAATGATAGCCTTATTTCCTGCTGACTTAATTACAAAACCAGGTATACTTTTTGTCAAATTAACTTCAAAATCACATCTTAACATTCACTCTTATTAATCATTTATTTTTTATTATTTAGTACATTTCTATGGTACATAATTTTAACCTCTAAAATAACATTATGTAATTTTATGTGTAAATTTTTCCTGTGATTTTTACTTCAAGAGAAACTAGGAACACCCAGAAAAATTTATTTACAATTAATAATCATACTTATTTTTCTGATGAAACAAAAAATACCTCCACTTGCTACTAATTTTAATACAATTATTACAAAAATGAATTATCAGATAAATTCTCAACAATAATTAAAAAATTCTTCAGAAAAAAAATTTCCACATGAGAATATTGCCAAGTAAATGGTTGACCAGATATTTTCATTACGAGAGTAAGGAGAGCGACCCCTCCTTTCTCTAAAGTTAAGAAAAATTCATAAACTTACCAACAGCATTTTCTCCTTTGCTTTCTTCAGCAGAAACTGCTGAATCAATGGCAGAACCATTTTGCATATGTGCATCACTTAATCTTCTAGGAACATTGGGTAGTTGACCCCATCCCCAACTGGGAGCACTAACATCTGACGGACTACTAGTATCAATTTTTTGATTTTCATATTCAGTGTCTGATTTTGGACTAGGAGGTCTAGATGCAATTGGACTAGGAAAAAAAATGCACAGTGATTCAAGCTTCAAGAAATTTGCAGCATATGTATATACATAATATAAAGTACGAGGAAGAGCCAAAAAGTAAACTTTTGTAACAGAATACATGCGAGGAACATTCACCAATGCACCATGTCTCATTCTCTTAACTGATTTTCTAGGCAATGAATACCTCTCTCTCATTAATCAGCTGAACAGTCAGACATTGCTATTAATGAATTTTTACCCTCGAACAAATGCTTTCTTTCTAAATTTGAATATCCAAAAATCAATTTTTGTTACCTTCTCCACTTTGTAGTTAGAACAAATACGTAGCTGTATACTTTTAAACTTACTAGATTACTTTTCGGCTCAACCTCATGTTAATTTTATTTTAAAACCAATAACACAACTGCTTTTTCAAAAGAAAAATCAGAATACCTAGAATGAGGTGTGACATCTCCGTCACTAAATGGATGGAATTCTCCAACGAAAGTGGAAGACATCTTTCGCTTATTCCACTCTGAGCCAAACAAATCATCAAAATTAGCAGATACAGGAAGACTAACAGAACGACTAAGACAACTAGATGATGCAAAACCTTCATCTTTATCATTATAGTCATCATCCATTTGAAAAATTTCTTCTGATTTATCACTCGCATCATCGGCTTCTTTTGAAGGCAAGTCTATATGACGATTTATAGGAATCAACTTTGATGGTTGTGTCGGAACATCCTTGGTTTTGGTTCGTTTTTTCATAACAACTTTCTTCCGACGTTTGCGCTTAGTTTTAAATTCATCACTAGAATCAGTGTGAACAGTGTTTTTAGATTTAGACATGTCATCTATTGAAATGGGAACAGTCTGAATAACTTTACTAGACTCGCAAGAATGTGATGTGTCTACTCGTTTAGGGAAGTTATCACTAGTGGAAATATCACAGGAATTGTAATCTGAAGGACTAGAAGTTACAGCAAGCACCATTTCTTGACTGGTAGCAGTAGTTTCAACAGTACTTTGTGTATCACTAACTGTCAAGATTTTTGATTCAACCTTATTGTCAATTTGTTCATTAAAACCAACAGATAGTTTCATTTTCTCCAGTTCTGATGCTATGTTGGGAACATCTGGCAAAGGAGATGTTGCCAAGTATGCAGGAATCTGGAAAAGTCAAAATAAAATAAAATCACAATTTTAGCAATTAACTTTTCTAACTGCACTGTTGTTTTTGTTAAGCAATTAAACATTTAACATGGGGGGGGAACACGTTAAACATGTACTAAAGCCATGCAAAAATCATATACACTACAATAATGGTTTTCAAAAATATAATAATAAATTTAAATTTGCCCTCTATTAAATCTCTGGATATTATGAAGTCTTATAAATGAAATGCTAATAAAACTGCATTTATAGTTCAAATAACATCAACCTACTGTTAATTACTTTATGATTTTTATCTTACTTCTATAATATATTAAACAATATACTAACTATTACACTTAAGAACACTGAATAGTGCACAAAGAAGGTAAGATCAGATTAAAATGGAATTTAATACACATAATAATAATACAGATGAGACTAACTTGATCCCAAAATCAAAATAATTAAACAAACATAATGTGTACAGTTAGAGAAATACAATGCAATCTCAACTGCTTGTCGAATCACCTCTGGGTGCAATACATTCCGCAACACAATCCGGCACTGAGTTGATTAGATGTCTGATGTTGTCCTGAGGCAAATGGGCCCGCAAATCTTAAACAGCCTCCTCCAAATCATGTACAGAGTGACAAGGCAGCATCTGGCATTTCAGCTGGTCTCATACATGCTCTATAGGGGACAAGTTCAGAGAAAGGACTGGCAATGGAAAAGTCTGAAAGTGATGTAAGGAAGTCTCAAGCAACTCGAGCATTATCTTGGTGGAAAATTGCCCCTGGAAGAAAAGTTCAGAAAGTCCTATATGCAGTTGACGAATGTCATCAATATAACGCTGGCCCATTAAGGTTCCAAATACCACAATTAAAGTGGACCGGCTATCATACCACAATTAAAGTGGACCGACTACCATTATGCCTGTTGTGCAGGAAGGGTCTTGCAAAACAGCTTGGATGGAATTGTACCATTCCCCAGGGCACCTGTATGCAGTTATGTGTCCCCAATACACATCAGTATTCATCACTCACTCAATTTGCCAATCTGTGGCATTCCATGTCGCTCTGGCTTGGCACCACTGTAGACGGAGCCGTTGACGTTTCGATGTTAAAGGCAGTATATGAGAAGAATACCTGGATTGCAGATTTGCTTCTGCGAGGCATCTGTAAATAATTTATAATATAACTGACACCCCTACATCTAACTGCATCATAGAACAAGTTATTGTGGGATCACAAGCACTTGCTGCATGATCCTTCCTTCGATCCTCTCACCTCATCATATAGCTGTTAGCTCCACACCCATTTCCCGCATGTGAGTACCATATCTCCTGTCCATTTCTCCCAACATGTTCTGTTGGAACACTCCAAATGATCGACCTAGTGAAGAACACAGCATGTCGACCAGTGTGCAGTTTTCACACATATGATAAGGTCCCTATCAAACTTGCTTAACTGGCAGAAATTGCTTAGCTGGCAAAAATGTCAAACTTGCTTAACTGGCAAAAATGTCAAACTTGCTTAACTTTCAGGAATGTCTTCTCATATGTTTACCTGGCATTCTTTGCTCTCCTAGAGTTGTCCTCCTAGATTTGAAATGTGATCATCATGTTTATGAAATTTTATCTATGTGCCAGTTTATTTAGGGCCCACTTCCTGATTGCAGTGCCAACGCAGAGTGTACGGTCATATGCACTGCCACCAAACATAGATCACTTGCATATTGAATTTCACTGCACTTATTTGCAAAGTTTCACAGTTGTACCTTTCTTCCTTCTTGGCATGCTATTTTCAATGTTCATGAGTGCATTATTAGGTGAATACATTATTATAGCAAATCAGCAGTATTTTCCTGCTTCACGATGCATTGCAATTAACAATTTTATAATAATTCTAGCATTCAGTTATGATATATTTCACTTTTAGAAAATGTATTAGCCAGCTCTGGACAGCCACCACATATATGCAGAAGCCTATCCATATAGTTGTTTTAAGCAGAATTCCTTTATTGGTCGCTAAGGGTAATTCATACTGCATAGTGAATTTGGAAAAGCAGTAAAAACTTTGCTCAGAAAAATGAAGAAAATAACCTCTTTTCCACATGTTGTTTTATGACTTGCCTTAAAGTTTCCAAATATGCTCTTTGAATTTTTTTTAAATTATTTTAAACTGCACGTGAATTTTAAAGCCCAAAAATAAGCATGCAAAATGATTCTACATCTAGATAAATAAATGGATACCATTAAAGGATACCATTCCTTTCAAGGAACTTTTATAATAGACTAAGATTTCAGATGAAAGTTATCCTTATTATTGATCAAGAACTTAATAAAATTATCAAAGAAATAAAATTACTTCATTATCATCTTGAACTTCTTCAACAAAGAAAGCTTCACCAGATTCTCCAAGTTTCATGTGAATATCAACAGGTACTCCATTTACCATAATGTCCACCTTGAAAATGAAATAATTAATAGGAAAAAATCAGGTTTAATAATTATAATCAAAACAAGGTCTTTTGCATGGAACTGGCACTCCTACATAATAATTAGTTCCTTCAACTGAATCTCAATACTGTCTACAAAAGGCACTAAAAACATTTTGTGCACTTCCCTAAAATATTTTAGTGCATTAAGCATAATTATGTATGTATTTAAAATGGAAAATCCAAAACCTTAAATCTTACATTAAATTTAAATATACAAGTTGTTTCTGACGCATTAAATATAAAGAGATTTTTAATTTTAAATTCAGAGATTTATATTTTTACTGTACTATTTGTCCTGAAATAAAACTAAAATTTATTTACTGCAAAAATAATTCGAGCCAAACTTAGACAGATCAAAATATCAATTTATACAGAATTAACAGCGTAGATTACTTCTGTAGTCTAGAAAATTTCTCACCTAGCTGCTTATTTACCATTACCTTCGGTTATTTGCATCTTTCACACGTTCTCTGTGTAAAAAAAAATCCTTTAATTAAGATGATTCATTTGATGTTTAATTGGCTAGCTCTGATTTTTAATCAAAATATGGCATCTAACTAATGCTGCTTCTATTTTATAAAATAATGCATTGTGAAACATAATACAGCAACCCATCTAATATTCGTGTTCTGAGATAACAGGCCATTACACAATACTATAACTATTTCTCAATTGTTATTATTTGCATTAACACAGTTTATATCACTTTTTTTATAAATTAATAATCAGTTTTCTTTTCCTGTTAACTAATTTATACAGTTTAAATAACGTTAATTTACATTTCACTCATTCAACTTTTTATTAATTATAAAGAATTATCACTTTCACATGTCTTAGGAATAATCAGATGTCAGCTGGTGGTAGTACATACAGCTGACAATGGGAAAATCCGCTGATGAGAGCATACATGATTTTTCATGATTTCTTCTTCAAAAAGCTTAACACATTCGCTGCCAAATACGAGTTATCTTATAGAATATTTTCATTTTACCTACGACACATAGGATCATTCTCACAGAATTTTCATATTCTTTGAAGGTCTTTGGGGATTAGAAAAAAACGCACCAATTTGATGCAATTTGAGAGATATATTATAATTAATATAAGTAATTATAAGAAAAAAATAATCAAGCAATTTATAATCTTTTAATAATAATTGTTTATAAAAATAATCAGTCTTTGTTACACGCTATCGCCAACTACGAATATTCCATTACGAGTACTTGTTGGCGATGTCATAAAACATATTGCAAAAACCAACTTTTAATATAACTCATATAATTAATAAATCAATTACAAAAAATTTAAATTCAATATCTTATGAATATATGAATATATGTTTTGTATTTTTATTTTACAATTAATTAATTTAAAGTTAATTAATTTAATTTAAAGTTTGTTAGAACCATTTTTTTGGAAATGCCACTCAGCAGCGAACATGTTAAAAAAATGCAAATGGTACCAGATGAAAATGATGATGATGACACACTGGCATCATTCAAATTAGCAAACTGGATTTTGTTCCTCTCTATAAAGTAGCCATTTAAAAAGGGGGCAGAATGTAAGTAATTTTCATCTTCCCCACTGCATACTCTCATGGCGTAACAGGTAGCACATCTGATTAACAATTGGAAGATCCAGAGTTTGTTGAGCCAGGTCCATGCATTCCATTTTCACCAAAAAATACCTAATAGCTTTAACGAATCATTTTTAATATTTATTTCTGGAACAAATATTACTTCTATTTTTAAAAGGTTAGTCCAGTTACATTTCACATAATACATATCTATATTACAAAATAATCTTTTACAGATTTTATATATTATATGATTATAAAAAAATATCTGGCAACTTAATGAATCCATCTTATCCCATTACATATAAGAAAAAGTAAATTTCCTGAACAATATTTCTGAAAGTTAACTTTCCTGTTTTAAAATCAGTGCTTTCCTTCACTTTTTCTTTTTTTAATAATTATTATCAAGGACAGACTAACACAGCAAAAACTGAAATTACTTTTTTTTGTCTAAAAAGCTACTCACAGTTTCTGATATAATATTTTTATAACTTACTACTCTGTATTTTTTTAAGGTCCACTGCTAATAATAATAACAAATGCTCTCTTAAGCGTAAAGAGTAAGGCACTGAGAGGTAAATACAATGCTTAAAATCACATCAAACAGTACACAAAATTAACAGCACATATTTAAATTGCATATCTGGAGCTGTTTAAAATTCACTTCGATTATTGTTCTTGCTTGCATTAATTCCATGCTGAATCTATATGCCACAGTTAAATGTTTTCATTAATTTAACATATTTTTTTGCATGAGGCTCTTGTTAAAATACTGGGACACTCAGATTTAAAAGCCCAATTAAAATACATATGAATACATAAACAAGGAAAGGATTTCGAGGAATTATTATACTGACCACTTTCTCTCGGCTCCTAAGTACACCGATTTTGCCGAAACGGACGTGAAAAGGAGAGCAGACAAAGCTTCCATCAGGCTGTCTCACTATTATGACATCAATTGCTCCAGTAAGTGTAGCTGAATTGATCTCATTGTAAAAATCTTTAAAATTGCTAATAAATTTTCCTATGTAAAGCATCTTGAATAACGAGACTATAGCTCAGTTTTGGAACCTGAAATTTCAAAAAGAGATTAAAGTTCATGAAAATAAGGAATTTCATTTTTCTTTTAGAAAAAAATACATGCAGCTTATCAATTTTCGTATGAACAAAAAAAAGGAAATTTTCATGTTTCATTATATATATGTGGCAAATAATAGCATGAATTTTATTAAATTAATTAAAATTTGAAAATTATAAATGCAAAATAACATCAAAAGCAACTTTAATGTAGTGATTATAAGCAGACTGCTATCCTATGGTTATGTTATGCCTTTCACCTTAAGATATCATAGTATGCAGGATCACCACAATAATTGGCGAAAGTGCCATCAGCAAACAACTAAATACATATTGAACTTAGAGAGAAAAATATCAAATCAATAAATAAATAGAAATATTAATTTTTTACTTCCCCCCCCAGGAAGAGGTACCTTAATTAATGGTATTTAAAGCTGAAATTATTAAATCCAATCTTAAAAATTATGATATATAAAGTAAAGAAAAACGTTTTAAGGTAAAAAAAAAGTTTCAATATTAGTGGGAGTATTAAGCAGAACTGTTTCATTAAATTTCAGTTAAAATTATAGATGTCAGAGCAATTACTTAAAATATAACAGTAGTAAGAAGGCTACAAAACATTTAATCCAGTAACACTAATCTAATCAGCACATGGTAGTCGAGTGAATGAAACATTTGCTATCATTTTATTGATAATAAAACAGCAATAATGCAAGGCAATCTAAAAATATTCCTATTGTATGGATCAACAATACTAAGATTAAACAAGTTGCAATAATTGCGAAATTCATTTGCAAGGTCAGAAAATGAGATTTTTCTAGGACCTGAAAGACACGATTTCTCTAGTGCTCTACTATCTGCTCCAAGATTGCAGCTTTTTAAAGTAATTTTCTGGCACATTTAAAGATTCATTAAACCTATTTATTTATAGAGGCTTCCCTGAATTAAGCTGGTGATGTAAGCTGGAATAAACAAGTTTTGCCTTAACACTTGAGCCCAGCACCAAATTTGATGTCCTTTCCATTCAGCCGGCGCGAGCGATCAAGCGGTGCATTGTTGCAGGGTGATCCGCGACTTCATGCACCGAGTAGAGCTTATCTGTTGGTGAGCCATGCCGGTTACCAACATACAAGCCCTGGCTATGCGTGACAAAGCTCGTGATCGCGAACAAAAATTCCAGTGCCGATCCGAAGAGACCGACACTGGCCACACAGAAAGTTCATTGCCAGGTTCAATGTGTTAAACAACCTAGCATTTTAACAATTTACTTATCATCAGAAATTACAGAATAAAAAAAGTAATAACAGAAAGAAACAAAAAGAAGTATTTTTTTTTAAATTAGTGATTTGCTGAAATTTTTAAACTGCACACTATGTTTTATATACCTGCTTAAACGGTGTTGCATAACTGTTTTTTTACCTAATAGTCTTGCATAACAAACTTTTCTTTCAAAAGAAATCGAATGAATGAGGCTTAAAAACAAGAAAACTTGCCAAGTAGCCAGACATACTGTGTTTCGTACCGTAAAATTTACTCCTTCAGTTTTTGGAGGTGTTTCTCTCATCAAGGAATAACTATGTTTTATATACCTGCTTAAACGGTGTTGCATAACTGTTTTTTTACCTGCTAATAGTCTTGCATAACAAACTTTTCTTTCAAAAGAAACCGAAAAAAAGCAGTCGAAAACAAACAAAGCTTAAAAACAAGAAAACTTGGCAAGTTGTCAGACATACTGTGTTTCGTCCTGTAAAATTTACTCCTTCAGTTTTTGGAGGTGTTTCTCTCATCAAGGAATAACTCGCGCATATATGAAATTTACAAGAAAAACTACTTACCGTATTTGACGGCATATAAGATGCACATTTTTTCCTAAATTTGGTCTCAAAAAAGTTACACCTGCGTCTTATACGTGAAGGACACAGGTTAACTTTCAATACTGAATGCTATTTTTAGCCTGGATAAAGGTCTAGACACATATAACTTTTTGTACATCTGCCATAATTATTTTGCGCATGCGTGAAATATCTGTCGCCAAAAAGCGCTAAAGCTCGAAGCTCATGTCGAAATTCGAACAGGTTTGAGGGTCACATTACATCTATGGAGCCTTTCCTTCTTTACATAGACTTTCTTTGACTCGGTTAACATCGGTGCTACTCTGTATAAACCTGTTGTTATCGGTGCTGAAAACTATTTGTTTAAAAAAAATACCCTGGAAAATATGACTACAGGAAACAAGAGATTAAGCTATACAATTCAGTATAAACTGAATTGTATATTGTATGTAAACTGAATTGTATATTGTGTTAAACTATGCCAAAGTGCATGGAAGCAGCAGCAAGGCATTTTGGTCCACCACCAGCATTTTCGTAATTTCAGCAAGGCATTTCGGTAATTTTCATTAATAAAAATAAAATATGTTTGGTAACTGCATTCAACGATTGTTTATTTGGCTTTTACGAAATGTGAGAACTAAAAGAAATCACATTTTAAGTTATTGTGGTATCGCGCTTTCGCGCAGCTTATTGAAACTTTTTTCCCTTGTGTGTGGCCTTCTAAATAAGGGTATGTCTTATATGCTGTCAAATATGTTATATCTGCGTTACATATACAAAACCACAAAACTTTTCCGCATTCAGCTTATTTCTCCACAAACGAAATTGCCGATGTATACTGCTGATGACCACTTTTTGGCCCATTAGGATCTTTTTTGCAGCCTGTAGCTAAATTAAGAAAATTTATTATAGATCAAATCTCCGAATTAGTGCACATTTTCATAGGTCTAAACACCATATAGCTACCTTCAGAATAAGATTAATCAAAATTAAACCCACAAGAATCTTGAAATAAAAGGCATTTCTCATTATGAAGCATAATCCTACATAAAGTAAATTTTAAGGCTTAAAATAAGATGCAAAACTTAGCTCCAGGAAAAATAAAATAGTCCCTCGAGGATACAGAAGGTGACTGCCACTGGTTCCATCTATTTGTCCTATGAAGGCAACTTACGCATAGGCAGACAGCTTATTTTTCAAAAGCTGCGGAACATGGCTTCGAGACATTTAAAATGCTTCTTGACGACACGGATGCTGGATGCGACTATTCACACAGCCCACTTAATGTTAAAAGACATCTCCCATTTTCTTATTTTAAATCAAAAGATATAAATTATTTGAATGAAATTAGAAATGAACACACAGGAAAACAGTCTTAATATTTCCCAAATATGCATGTACAAGATACTTTTATAAGCAACCAGAAACTAAATTCATACAATTCATTTTTTATTGTGATGAAATAGAATCAAACTGGCAGTATCTAAAGATATATCAGTATAATGACATTTTACATCCAATTACAATACAGTACAAAGTCTTTAATGCAGACTCATCAGGTCTTCGGCAATTCCGGATTCGGGGTTTTTCTGGATTATAGATCATCAATTTAAATCTGGTAAGATGGCATGCAGAAATTATAAAATTAAAAATATGTATCTGTAATTTATGAAATAAACAACAATTATGATCTAAATGGTATCAAAATTTACAAAAAAAAAAAAAAAAAAAAAAAAGCTTAATATTTATTTGTTTACTTTATTAAACATTTCTTTCAATGTAACTTGTTTAAGTTGCTTCATTTTTTGTACTAATACTTTCTCTTTAATTCTATAAACAGACATAATTTCTTGTTCAGTTCCACTGTTCAAGTCCTGTAATTGCTGTGTCGAAAATACAGACTAACTTGTCAATCGAAATGTTTTCGTTTTCAATAACCTCTCTGTCACTTTCACTATCAGAAGCAGTACATCAAAACATGCTTTCGCTTTGTAGATCCTTTGGCAGCTCCAGAATTGGAAAGTCTTTTTGGCATAAACGAAAGTTCAAGCTTACTTTTTACAAAATTGCTCTAACAGTCTGCAAAAAATAATAACCCGGATCCAATTAGAAGATTAAGGAACAACGCAATCTGCAACATTAACTGAAATAGATAATTAGATAATTTTAGCATAGCTTATACCGTCCATCATACATTAAACATGCATGCCTAAACGTATTATGCACATACGTTTACACATGCGCAGAAAGTTTGAAGCTTTGAGGTCCAGATTATGGACGTCCGAATTAAAGACTTTGTACTGTATACATTTTTTTTTAATCCAGTTACGGGGGGGCACTTGCCTATTCAGCACTGGCCACTCCTAAGTGGTGGCCATTTTATTGTGAAGGCACCTAACAGGCGGCCACCATTGCCTCCTATGAAGGGATGGACAGCTACAACATCCTCTTAAACCCACCTCTGTTTAAGACAGTGCTGACAGTTACAACCCACCTCTGTTTAAGACAGTGCTGACAGTTACAACCATTTCTTCTCCGGGATTCGAACACGGGCCTTTTGGTATCACAGTAGGCTCCCCTAAACACTATACTGTCTGAGTGGCAGTATACAAAGATCTTGTCATAATAATAATATTTTTAAAATTTTTCATAAAAGTTGGAATACAATTCTTTTCTGACCTGGAGTAAAATTGATCAGCAAACAAAAGTACCAGCAGGCCATTAATCATCCTGCCATAAAACTTTGGAATTTTTTAAAAGAAAAAAAAAGGGGGTAGAAAGGGATGAAATTTAATAATGATAATGAAACTACGATCCCTAAAAAATTATTTTATACGTCTTAAAACTATAATATTGAGACTGTGCCCCTGTATTTTACTTGACAAACGGTTTACTTATAAAACAGTATTATTTACTGATGATGTGGTAGCATTTTAAAATACAGTATTATAAATAATTATAGGTTAAAAATATATGCATAATTTTATTTCATTTTCTATTATTATTTTATTTTCAGCTTTCTCCATATGGTTTGTTTAAAGGAAACTGACGACGTTCATTCATAAAATATATTTATTTACTATAATTATTTTACCTCAATGTTTACATATATTATATTCCGTGCTAATCATTCTTAAAATGAAATTTACACCAGTAAAATTT